GCCCTTGAAAAGTGAGACCAACTTGATAGGTCCATCTGTTCGGGCCGATAAAAATGAGCAAGAGCGCAAACACAGCATCCATCGCATAAATCCTCATACAAATCCTCCATCTCCGGGATTAGGCCCTCATCACCTTCATCGGACGCTAAAAGGTGGGTAAATTCGGTATTCACTAGATTTTCATACTTCTCAAGCTGGTTCCGGTTCTTTCGACGTCATCTCGGACAAGGAGGCAAATTTTGTTGATCCAAAATAGGAGCGAATCCACAGCGTCCATGGGTTGTTCGCGTTCATCAACGGAGGTGTATTCACTACAAAATTAGCATATTAACCTTTATCTGGTTTTTGATATGTTATAGCTACTTGATCGCCTTTATAAAAATCAGAATTTTTCACTTACCTAACAGCATGCACAGCTCGATCTATCGTAACGACACTTCGGAGATGATACGTCATTAGTGCGTCCATCATGGCAACGTGGGCAGTCTGAAAGTGATTTTTTACTTTAATACCTTTACAGAGTCGTGTTTTACATTACACATAGTTCCCTTTCAGTAACATCTCCTCCTCACATACCTCGTAAAATGGATTAGCCGAAAAGAGCCTCTGCTCCGAGACAAGCATACAATTCCCGTCCACCAGCTTCTCCAACGCTTCTACCTCGTTATACTGAAGGGCCCTCAGGACGCCGGCGTGGGATTGCTAGAGTTGTTTTTAGCTTTGAAGTGGCTTTTTGTCTCGTTTTTTTATACCTTAAACGCAAAAGTCGAAAACGTACCGTCACCAAGCTATGATCCTTAAAAATTTTCACAGCTGCCTGGCTATACAGAGATCCGTTTGTAAGGGCGGTCAGCACGGCGGTGTCGATGTGGAGGTGGCCCTGAAATGCATTTGGTTTATGATCTTTGTAGTTTGTAGCCTTTACCTCATCGTCCCTAACTACAGCCGATTTCAGCTTGTCCGGGATGTCATTTTCGTAGACTCGTGAGATCAGCCAGCGAACCGAGGCTGCGAATTTTCCCTGAAAAGGCGTCATAATTCAAGCGTTTTCGATTTTAGAAAATTCTTATAAAAATTTCTAGACTACTTCCGGTCGTCATTCGTTATGATTTTTCTTGTGCATTTGCATGAAAACCGGTTGAATCTTTCGAAAATCGTCTTTTTATTTTTTCTCTTCAAAAACCTTCTAAAATGGCTTGGACATTTTTCTATACGTAGATTTTCCATATTTTTCGTTATTATTCCCATCCCCACCTACTTACAGCTTTCTCGGCAGTAATCCAAATTCTGCGGATTTGTATGGCCGGGCTACGGATTGGCCGCGTAAGTAATAAAGCCAGGATTTCCAGAAAAAATTGAGCAACAATGTAAGGGCCAGTGTCGATGCTCCCCCTTGTCAATGACCACCTTTTCGAACCCAGGAAATTTGATCCTACAGCTCCATTTTTTCACATTTTCGCGTCTGCCCCCCGAAAAGTCAATATATTGCTTGGTGCTTGGTAGCTTTTGGCTTTGTATGGGGCTGTGTGTGAGTGAGGTCCCCCGTTCCTCATCCACAATGCAGCGGGGAATGAAAGTGGGAATGTGCTCTGGGGGCATGGAGATAGAGAAAGAGAGAGAGAGAGAGAGAGAGAGAGAGAGAGAGAGAAAGTTGAGAGAAAGAAAGATCTTTGTTCTTCCTTTAGCGGCCCTTTAGAAGCCAGGGTCTTTCGGTTGGTGGGCCACACGCGATGTGTCAATTCCTGTGGTGCTGGGGGGCAGAACTATTGGCAGGGGAGCGGCCACTACGCTACACTGGATAGTGCTAACGAGGAAAAAACCAAATAAAAAAATAGAGACATGGTAAATCTAGACATTTATAGCCTTTAGCCGGCTGATTTAAATCTCTTAGGTGTTTTTAGGCATCGGAAACTTAACATTGCCTCTCCGGATACCAAGCCTTCTTTTTAAAGGGTTTTTCGATGATTTCCGAACTTAGCATATTCCCCCAATCTTAAAAACCCCAACATCCCATAATTGGCTTATTGTTGTTGACCTCCCCTTCCGGATACTTGGCCATCCCCCAAGGGGCATTAAGCCTCCGCCAGATGGCCTCCATCTACCACCAAACACCGATCCCCACCCCACCCAGCCGAATCGAGTGAGAAAATGCATTAGTCAGGGCTCAATGCACGAGATGAATCTTTATAAAAGTACCCACATGGGGCCAGTTGCAATGGGTACTTCACGATTTTTTAGATAGATTTTTTAGCTATTTTTGATTAGATTTTTTCGTTTTTCACCCACCTCGGCCGCATTGTACTCGTTGACGCCGGTCAATTCAGGCAAAACTCCGTTTTCCATCGTTTAAAATATTTTCCGGTTTTGCGTATTCACGATGGCATCCGGCTAAAAAAGTTTCCGATTTTCTGCCGTCAAGAAATTTCATGGAAATCCAAAGGAATGATGTACGAAGTTGAAAAATTCAGAAAACCGCTTCTCGAAAGAATAAATAAACCAAAATAATAAAACAATACTATAAAATATACAAAACTGCACAGCGCTAGAAGAAACACGCAAATTTCGCTATTCACGACCTGCCTTGTCCGGCAAAGACGATAGGGAATTTTGGCGAAGGATCGGCGCGGCAAAACGGCATAATGCAGCCGGTGATGCGTAATCGGCGAAGGTGGAAAGTCTTTTCACTAGCGTAGGAAATGGTTTGTATCGAATTTATACTAGCAAAACACGTATCGGGAGAAATTAAGAGCTTTCGTACCAAAAAAATGTTACTTTCGGTCAAAAATACACAAAAAATAGTATGGCAACTAAAAATCTAGGCTAAAAACTTGTGTAAAAATATAAGAAAGAGCAGAAACAAACTTACTTACTTCTACATTTTTTTTTGACATTTAGAGACATTCTAGTAGATGATATCTTACTTACTTACTTACTCTCGGTAAATCTAGATAAATATACCAATTCCAAACAATCGAAACCCTAAAAAAATGGCAGCCAAACCCCCCATTGAGCGGTCAAATTACGGGGGGCAATTTGCCGGGCAATGCGGACACCCGGCTTTCCAACCCGCCGGCAGATTGTGGTCAAGCCCGCGGGCGAGGGATCGGAGATTTTGTGGAAAGACAACGGAGGATCCGATTCCCCTTTTCTCTCCCCCTTCCATAGGCTAAAAGACCGCCTCGCAACTGGGGGTGCGTCGCGTGCACGTGTCCATCCCTTTGCAGAGGCTGTAGAGGGGGGGAGAGTAGGGGCTATGCACGACGTCCACTCACTCAACCCTTCCTCCCTCTCCTTCCAACCATCACCATCTAACGTCTCCCAAATTCTGGGGTGGCTCTTCTTTTTGGGGCAGGGCATCTGGTGGAGCAAGAAAAAGGCGAAAAAGACGAGAAAAGAAGAAATTATAGGAAATTCAAAAAGCTTAGATTAAGCCACCTTTATGCCATTGAAAACATAGTGTAAAGTAGCATATTTCTTATCAAATTAAATCCATATAATTTTTTAATACATCCGAAGAACTTCTATTGCGAATATAGGTTTTTGAATCTTTTCCGAAGGTGTATTTGGAACATACGGTAGAACTCCCTTTTTTCGGAAAAAGTACGGTGCTAACTGGCACGATATGACACAGGATGCATTGATTACTATAAGTCAAGAACTATTGATTTTAATAGTGTAAATGGGTCAAAAAGAGCCCTTTTTAGAAGCCTTGACCCTGAAACAAGCTGCGACTGATAAGGACTAATTGGCCTCTAGGCGCTAATTAACCACAGCGTGACAGGTTAACGTGAAAAATTCCAGAAAATGGATAAAAATCTATTTAGATTTTTTGGGTTAGTTAAGGCGGCAAGTATGTCAGCTCTAGAATTATAACAGGCTAAAACAGATTAAAGTGCAAACGCCAACCTAAATAAAACACTTTCAAAGAAATTTAATATTTTTTGAACACGATTTTGGAGCGGATTTTGCTTAGAATATTTTGATCATACCACAAAGCGTGCAAATACTGGACGAACAGATCGAGAGGAGGTGCCGAAGCCCTGGGACAATAGCTTTTCCGGGCAAGTATTCGGGCCAAGGCCATTTATCGCACACACACAACCCAGCGGCCACTTTTTATGCCCTTTCGCTCTAGGGTTGCCCGGTTCTCACAGCCGATGATTTTTTGTTTGGTCGATACACTTGGGAGGCGAAGCTAATTGGATTTTGATTAAAGTAACAAAATTAACTTTTTAGTTATCAGAATTCAAGATTTTAGCGTTTTTCAGGATTTTATTTCACCTGCGATAAATTTGAATTCTAAAGTTGTTCGTAAAAAAACCCGCCTGAGCGCAAGAGAAAAAGGGAGAGATAGGGAAAAGAGAGAGAGAGAGAGAGAGAGAGAGAGAGAGAGAGAAAGAGAGAGCAAGAGAGGAAGGGAGAGGGAGAGAGAAATAAAGCCCTAATCAGCAAAAATGCTCCTAATTTGAAAGAAGAACTCGTAATTTACGCAAGCCATAGTCCCTATTTTTATCATGATTTATGCAGCCAAAACAGTAATAATTGAGCAAATATTTATTCATTTCGAAAAAAGATAAATGAATAACAAAAAACACACGTACATGACTCGCATAGACGCTGTCAAGTGACATGGGGAGAAAAACGACTCGGTCGCGACGATTAAAACAATAATATCAAATCTTTTTACAAGCTGACAGGGGCCAAAAAAAGTGTATAAAACAAGGGAAACGAGGAGATCCAATAAACGTGTAAGTCCGGGTGGGGGTAGGGGTCCCGCAAATTCTGTGGGGGCATTGGTCTTTTCTGGGGGTGAGGGCCAAGATAGGGTGGTTGCGAAATAAGTAGGGGGCCAACTTTAAGAAATTCCTCCTTGAAAAATATTGGACATCCGCTGTACGCAAAAATACGGTAGAATTACGGTAAAAAATCTCATATTTCAAGATGCGTCGGACGATGTGAAAGACTCGGGAAATTCAGGTATTTAGGGTAATATTAAGTTAGTAAATCGGCTGATCGCGATGCTTCCGCTTATACTCTTTACAGCAGATTTCGGTGCACCGTTGGAGGGATTTGAAGTTGTTGAGGGTTCCGTCGCAGCCTCCGTACTTGTACTCGACGCACGTGTCGGACTCTGGGTGGTAGCCGTAGCGTTTTTGCTCACCGTTGCACGGGCCTGGGTCTCGGGGGGATAGGCAGAAGTCCATCGGGTCCTGGAAATTGTTGGATCGAGGTGGTAGCTAGCCGAGACCGCTAGGGAATGGGGTTCGTCTCTTAAAGTATTCGTGAGGCACAAAAATGCACTATTTCTCGGACTTTTGCCGGCGATCCGGCAAATTTGGTGAGCCATTTTTTAAGGGACTGGCAAGTCAAACATCAGATAAATTTGGTGCTTTAGAATTATCAAAGCATTGACTCATTTTTTGGTACTTACCTCACAGCAAATCGACACGTTGTGCTCGCTGCTCATATGGCAGATATACCCGGCCGGGCATCCCTTATCAATTCCACACGAGAACACAGCACCCCGCTCAACCAGTGGCAATCCATGGGGGCAGAAGTTACGGTATTCTAATCAAAAACTGGACTTATCCCTGTAATTTCCATACCTGGACAGGCTGCCCTGCAAGCGCGCTCACTAACAAAGTTATTCTGGTTTCCCTGCAGTCCGGTGTACGAGAAGGGCGAACACCTGAATTTTGGTGATTCATTATTTAAAAAATTAATTATAAGAATAAAAAATATTTAATGATAATAGAAAAATTATTGGATAGGCTCTTATGCATTGTAAAGTACCGGTTCGTTTTGGCGTCATAGTACCATCGCGGAATTTGTTGTCGGCCGACGCCTTCTTGGCGGGGTTGCTCGCAGACCACAACGTCTAAAGATTCAAATTATACCGTAGGTCAACGCAAGTTCTGAAAAAATGAGTATTCTAAAAAAGGTATACTTACGCGCTCGTGGGCAGCACACCGTACTCAACGCGTTGCCGCCGACATGACAGTAGAAGTTGGTAGGGCAGGTATCATTCTAAAAAATTTCGATTCTTCTCGTAGAGTATAGATCGTATAGATTTCGAAGAAAAATTTTTTTAAATAGGAATTTCAGGCGTAACTTACAGCCAACGTCGGCAAGCAGGACAAGCGATCCCCATTCTTGTCGACAAGGGGCTCACCGACACTGCAGGGATTCACTTCTACAGGTGGGAATTTTCTTTGTAGCTTCGTCGAGTTCCCCCTACCTTTACAAGCCTGTCGGCAAGCCGTTCGGCTCAGGAAGTTGTTCGAATTTCCCTTGGTTCCCTTGTAGATGAACTGGCGGCACATTTGGACGGAGCCATCGTAGAACCACCTATCGAGCTTCTCAGGTCCTTCTCCGACTTCCATTTGCAGGTCGCAGGGTTTTCGGGCTGAAATATTAAATTAACATTGCTACTAAGGTACACTAAAGTCACGGTTTAATTTAATGTACGTATACTAAGGTCATCTGTAACCCTAAAATTTTGCTACAATTGTTTTAATGCATGTAAACTTACTCCCAGGACAACAATTCGTCGTTTCCGGCGCGCTTCCAACATGACAGAAGTATCCGGTTGTACACGTATCCTCTCCGCCGCAGATCACCGGCTCCCTGTCTTCAGTCAGAAGCGGTTCACCCTCTTTGCAGGGATTCGGAAGAACTATATATTTTTAATTGATTTTTAGCTGCCATGGCTTACCTGGACAAACCAGCTCACAATCCTCGAGGCTCAAGAAGTTGTTGGCGTTTCCCTGGTTGCCCTTGTAGAGGAATTCACGGCATCTCCTGGTTTGTTTATCGTAGAAGAAGCGTTTCAGGGAGTAGGTGCCATTTCCGGAAGTCATGTCTTGCTCGCAGGGATCCCCATCTGAAAAATGGGATTCACCTTCTTCAGAATAGTCGAAAATTAAGTTTAAAACTTTTAATTAGGTAAATCGTTTAAAAATTTCAATGAATTAACTTTAACCTACTCTTTGCGCAACAGTAATTCGGCGTGGCTGGCGCTCCAATATGGCAGAAGTGAGTGGATGGGCAACGGTCCAGTGGGTTACAAAGCTAAAACACACCTAATTTGGGCTTCTCTCGAGAGTGCGATACCTTTGGCATCGTTCCAATCAACAACGGCTTTCCATTCCCGCACGGATTCTCGTAAGTAGGACAGATCAGTTGGCAATCCTCCTTCGTCAAGAACATATTCTGATTTCCGCCCTCGCCCTTGTAAATGAACGCCACGCATTTCTTCTGGGTGGGGTCGAAGTAGAAGCGGGAGAGGTGACCGTTTCCGGTACCGAGGGAAAGAGGAAGTTCGCAGGTGTTTTGGACTAAAACTAGGTGTTGTTTCGCTATTAATGTATGAATACGCTGTCCTAGGCATATGTAAAATAACACCTACCAGCTGAGCAGCAAACGGTCGTCTCAGCCTTGGCTCCAACATGACACCAATGCGTGTGTGGGCATGGAGCTGTTGGGGAACATTGCCGAGGACGACCCGCCAACATCAACATGTCCCCAGAACCGCACGGGTTTCGGCATTCGGCTAAAAATACGGTAGGTTACTGACTTCTAAACGTGAAATCAAACTAACATCTATGAAAAACTCACGTTTACACTTCTTCTCACACGCTTCCTTGCTCACAAAGTTATTCTGATTTCCTTTCTGGCCGTTGTAGATAAAAGGCAGACATTTCCGATCGCAAGAGGTGTCCATCGGATCGGCATACCAACGTGTCAAATTGTTAGAGCCCTCGCCATAAGCCAGGGGTTGCCCGCAGGGGTCTTGGACGGCTTAAATTGGCGTTAACCTGGCCACTGTAATGTTGCCATACCTCCAGCGCAGCACACGGAAGATTCCTTAGTATGGCCAACGTGGCACCAATCGCCCTGGGAGCACTCATTTCCGTTGGGGGTGCACTCTTTGCGGAAGGTTGGGTTCATCGGGAGTGGGCATGGGGAGGGGAGTCCTGAAAAGTTTCAAAATGTGTTTTAGAGATCGTAAAATATCATTTAAATGGACGGACAAGCTAGGATTATGGATTTGCCTAGCTATGAATACGCCACGGCGCACTCAACGCCAGCTATTTGCAAGCCTGCGACACGCAACGCCTTTTGCACGTGGCAACGCGTATGTTGCTTGCCGCTATCGCGCAATAAACCCATAAATATTACTTGCTCGCCCTTTTAAAGGTCTAGAAAACCCACGTTGACACTGCTTCTCGCAGTCGGCCTGGTTCAAGAAGTTGTTCTCATTCCCCTTCATCCCCTTGAAATAAAACTCGGTGCATTTCTTCGTCAACGTGTTGTAGTAGTATCGCTTGACGCCTCCGGTCCCTTGGCCAATGTTTATTGAGAGCAGGCATGGGTCCGAGACTAAAAAAATATCCAGGTTCAAGTGCAAAAAGCATTAGTTCGTTAAATTGAGCGTTCGTATATAGGCAATGGTGTTTTAGGGGCATCTGGTGTTGGAGAACGAAATGCTAGTGAAATTGGGGAAAGTCTTGGGATATTTTTCTTACTTTTGCCGTTACGATTACGTCCTTCGAACACCTCTGAAAAGGTACCGCTTTTTGGGGAAATGGTTTTTAAAGTCTGGTCGATGCATGTTCAATGATGGCTCGAAGCTCCTGGATTTTAAAGGGATTAGTAAGGCAAAGACGGGTTTTTCTAGCTATCGACTAGGCGTTTCTAGGCACATGGTCGAGCTCTGGAGCCGTAGTTTGGTATAAAACGTACGTCCCGATCCCTCGCAACAAGCCGTATTCAACGGCGAGTCTCCGATATGGCAGAAATGAGCCCTTGGGCACGTCGTGTTCTTCGGTCCGCACTCCAGACGAGTTCCAGACGCATCGACGGCCGGGACTCCAAATTTGCATGGGTTCACCGGCTCTGGGACGCCCTCTAAATTTCATCTTTGAAGAGGTTATAACCTTAAAAACCGGGAATTTCAATTTTAGGGCCCCAAAAACCTTCCCTCACGACTTATCCTACTATAGTGTCTATAAAATGTCTATAAAAATAGTGCTCTGTGTGTGTGTGTGGGTGTGCATTTGCATGCAGCTTCCGTCACCGTGTCCGGAGAATAACTCGATAGGGAATGAATTTTAAAGGAATCCGAGGCTTCAATCTTACGCTGGAAATTCTCTGCGCCTCCCCGGGGGCTCTCTCCCTTTTACTTGCCAATTTTTTGAGGGGTCGACATGCCGTCGGTAGCCCTTTAAGATACGTATGATATGTCATTAGGTGCGCAATGGTTCTGGGATGACTGCACGCATCGCATATTTACCAAATTGCCTATTTTCGACATTAAATTTAGGTTTTTGTTAAAAAAAATCGGGAACCCTCTTAGTTAGTAAAAAATTAGCATGCACCGGAAGTGGCGATAGCCTATATAATGGGAGAGAGGAAGCGTTTTTCATTATTTCCCACGACAATTCGGGCGAATTATGCAAAGTGCGGAATTTCACGGGATTATAGGCGCAGGTTGAAAAGTCGCGAAGCGGCTTTTCAACCCTGGTTTTTATTCATTTCCCTCGTTTCCCCAAAGTTTCCTTCCACTCCTAATCCTTCTTATCCCCTTACTCATCGTCTCCCCTGAGGGGATTTTCGACTCGTTCTCTCTCTCTCGCTCTCCCTCTCTCTAACCAGTGAGGGGATTGTGTGCAAAGAGACAAAACAGTCGGGTAAGAGACCCACTCGATCCGCACACGTCCAAACATTGCGTCTTCGTGACAAAGTTGTTTGCGTTGCCGCGCATTCCCTTATACAGGAACCGCTTGCACTCCCTGGGTTTGGGTTTTTTTAAGTTTTTGAGGATAACGATACTTGAGAGCAGGATCGTAGTACCATCTGGCGATTAGGTCGTCTCCAGCGCCGACGGAACGCTCGAGGAGGCAACGGTCTTCTAAAGAAGAGAAAGATTATAGTAAATCCGTGTTGCGATATTTGTAGGGAATTTAAAACGAGATATACCCCGTGTTGTGATCGGGCAGCAAGCAGTGGTGGCGAAAGTAGCTCCGACGTGGCACCAGAAGTCCTGGAATTTAGAGGATAATAATCAGGACAGCCAAACAAGGAGAGAAGAGAGAGAGAGAGAGAGGGAGAGAGAGAGAGAGAGAGAGAGAGAGAGAGAGATTAGAAACCAACCTCAGGACATCCACCATTCGGCTGATTCAAATGGTTGCAAGATAGTGGCACGTTGAACTGGTTGGTAAGAGCCTTTCCGGCACCACAAGGGTTCGTGAATTCAGACGGGAGGGCACCTAAAGATAGTTTACACACTGATACGGATGAGCTACCCCAAGAGCGTCAGACAAGACTTCAGAAAAAAGCTTAGGTTCTAGCAAGGCCAGACTTCTAGGCACGTTTCTATTAAATATTTTTAATCGGCACACGCTGGTTATAATCATTCGTTTTTCTCTACGAGAATCTACAAAAATTTAGTTAGCGCGTTATAAGGGGTATTTTTAGATTGTTGTATAAATTTAAACCTCCTAAAACGTGGTCTATACTGTTGATTTCACACACTTCAAACAATTAAGAAATTAAACTTGTGTAAGTCAGTGAGGTGGAGCGTCTAGTATCATCTGAAATTTACCTTGCACAGCACTCGGGAGTGGCTTTTTCACGCCGTTTTTCCGTTCCGGAAACATGTAGACCGGGGCGGCCGAGTGACGGCCAGGTAGTGGGGGTGCAGCCTCTGGCGGTGGGGTGGGCAGAGTGGGATCGATCACTAGTGCTAAACGGTGCTCTAGGAGAACGTGGGTAATTCATCAAATTTTTAGAACTAAAATTTTATGAAATAGTCATGCAGTGGTGCTAGATTTTGAGGGTGAACGGGTGTAGGTGGATGGTGAAATTCAAACAGAAAGTGCGGGCATTCAGGTGACAAGTAACTTTTTTAAGTTTTTAGCGAGTTTTAAAGGGAAATATGTGGTTCTTAATATCAAGAAGATGCTATGAAAAATAGTATGTTATACCGTAGCTACAGATGACAATCTTTTTTACGCTAAAAAGTAATCACTACTGAAATTTCGAATTAAACTGAACTGAGACAAAATTAAAATATTTTTCGCGGCGCTGAATAATTTTTTTCTATATAACACGATGCAGACAGTCCCATTGAAGACCCCGTAACAGAACCATATCTCCAAAACACTCACTTTCCGGTGGTGGAGTCGGAAGGCTGGTCGTAGCGATCGAAGGGGCCAGTGTCAGCGTCGACGTCTCCAAGGTAGTGCTCGGCGTAGTAGTAGGCGTTGTCCTCGTTGTAGTCGTCGTCGTGGTGGTAGTCGTTGTACTCGCCGAGGTCGACTTTATTGTCGGTGCCGTCGGTGTCTCAGGTGGTGGTGTCGGAAGAGTCGAAGTCGACGGTACGGGCCTCCACCTCGTGGGCACGACCGCATTCGGGTTCACCGGATTCGGGGACGGCAATTCGGGGATGGGTGTCGGTGGGGCGATGGTGGTGGGGCCGGGGGCTGGACCCAATGGCTTTCCGGGCGGGGGTACAGGTTGTACCACCGGTGGCCTCAGGGTTAGCATGATTGGGATGGTGATGATATTCTGGCGGCCTGAAAGGGGGTAGATGGGGTCCCAAGGGGAAGAGAATGGAAAGGATGGAAAGTACAGGCATGCACTGCACATCCTTAATTCGTGAAAGGTATCAAATCGTGATTTGATGATCTATAGGACTAATACTCTTTTAAAGGGCTAGGAAAGCGTCGGAATTAACGCCATTATTTGTTAGGTCTCGATAGACCCGATCAGGTTAACACAATACGATATAAAGTTGACGCGTATCATTAAACGCCTTTTTTAATTGTTTTTTCGGCGCCGCGTAGCTGTCTAGGCCCGGTCGACGAAAGAGGTCGATTCCGGCGCCTCCAATCCCCTTTAAAAGAAGATAACTGGCCGTACTAGGGGCAGCATCGTTTTTCCAAAATACAAAGCCAAAAACGTCAATTTTCAGCCAAAAATTTAAGCGCAAATATTTGAAAATCACTCGTTTCTGGTTGCGCATTTTCATACCTTGAGGTACCGGCTGTGGCCTTTGATTCCATCTGTAGCGTGCCTGCTGCTGGCAAGGCGTTCGGCAATTTGTTCGCACCGGGTAGTAATTGGTTCTAAAAACAGTTTTTTCCTTAACAAAAGGGATACGGATACCTCTGCTGTACTCGTGGATATGTGTAGTAGACTTGGCATGCGGCCAGCTCCAGTAGCACGGCGGCTACTAGGAGCTTCATCGTGTTGCTGGAAAGGAGAGGGCGATTAAAATGAGGATAGAAAATTTATTTAAAGTTTGAAGTTAGTAAGATGAATAAAGAACACGTGAAAATTGGTGGAAATGGCTGAAAAACGTTAAAAAGTAAAGAAAAAGTTAGCATGAAAAATGAATTTTCGACGATTTAGGGGGGGGGTCTAAAAATTGATCTTACTACTAGAGGAGATTACTCCTACGACGATGAGAACCGCTGATTTCTACACTTCTAAACAGTTAGAATCTACTTTAGTTTGCAGAAGAAAAAAAAGAAGAAGTTTGACAAAATTAGAGATGTCCGGATTACGGTAAAATGAAGTTAAAACAAAAAGTAAGCCTGATGCGGAATCCCCAAAACGGTAAACGTTTCAAAAACGTATCCAATTTCACCCAACACCCTCCGGCCAACTCGGACGCGGTATGTGACCCCTGTTGCTAGTGATCCGCCCAAATTCCAGGCGCCTCCCGGTACGGAGAAGAAGATGATGACGGGCCAGTATTGGAGGATCGAGGTGTCAGCGCCCCCCCTCCGCCTTACTGACTGGGCCCTAAGGCCCCGAGGGCCCAACAAACCGAGTAAATACAGTTGGAGGAAGTGTGGGGAGAGCCCTCCCTTTAGCCTCCCCCCAATGCCTCAAAAAAGGCAAAGGAACTGTGTCACACAGCTTATGGCCCCTCCTCCCCCCCTGTGGGAAAAAGAAAATTCGTGACCCTAGGCCAGGGCTGCGACCTCATCTCACTCAAATACCTTACCGGGGGTATGGACCTAAAAGGGATTCTCATAGGGGCATTGAATTTTACATAGAATTCTGCACCGCAACCCGATTCTGTTGCGATGCGGGGGGGGGCTATATTGTGGCGTTATTTCGGACTTTGGATACTTTGCTCTCGTTCGGTGCACCCAGCAAAAAAACGCGCGGCGAACAAGCGGAACAATATACCCTAGGGCGGTCATGGGGACGGTGAATTCTTGCGGTTGCACGGATGCAAACCGTGAACTAGCCTGTTCGATGGTTTAAGGGAATAGAAAGCTACAGTCTAATGGGTGGCGTGAAAATCAGGTCTTATCATGGAGCCAAAATCCTACGCCGTCCGACAATTCTAGGAGCAAAGCCAAATAGACGGATTTTGGATTTGAAACTCACGTAGGGCTAGAAAGTGTGAAAATCGATGTGTTCCGAGACTAGGTCGGGACAAAAATATTTGGTAATTTTATCGAAATTAATTTCAATCTGACAATGAGAGAGCAAGTGACAGAGAGCGAGATAGAGAGAGAGCGAGAGAGAGAGTGTGAGAGGGAGAAATGCAGCGCTACTCGTAGATGCCCAGACGGGAAGGGAGTACCGATTTCTGCACTTCCTAGTCCCTTTAAAATACCGGGCTACGGGTTCCTTTGCCTCCACCCCCCCCCCCTTCAGCCGGAGGGTTCTGGCTATAACTTCTTTATTTTACATTATTTTAAGCTCGAATTAAAACTCTTAGTATATTTTTGGGCGCTCTATCAAATGGCGTTACAAAATTCCCGACAGAATAAGTGAAAATACCGAAAACCTTGAGACTCTTCGACTTTAGGGGAGGGGTATACAGGGTGTCCCAAAATTATCCGGACAAAACTGAAAACTGACTTTTTCAATTTTTCCGTTTTTTTCGGCCCCTTGTTTTTTTTTATAATTTTTTTGGGGGTTTTTTGGTGCACCGAAAAAAAAAATTGGGGAGGGAAAAAGAAGAAATTGAAATCAATATAGTTAAATTATGGTCTGAAAAGGAAGGTTTTTGACCTTTAGTAAACCCTACCAAATACCGTTGTATGCAATTTGTATACCAAAATTTTCTCGCAGATTGCCATCATTTCTCAGACGTACTTTGTCTGTTTCCTCTGTTGTACACAGTTTCAGACATGCCCCCTCCAGGCTAGCCTGTGCATATCCCTCCGAAACCAACGTTGTCCTCAAAACCCAGCGCGCACTCTTGTCACCACGAACAGTCCGATCTCACCCCCCATTCCCATCGCAACCACTCACAATCTCCCAATTTTCTCCCCAACAGTCCCAGTGTCCCACAGGGGTCCAAATCCACTGTTAGACAAGATGCTCCCCCTCAGGCAACTCCCCCACTGAAATCTTGGTCAACACTTTTCAGCCGGCCGTCAACATCCTTTGTACAGCCCCAAAACTACCCCGGAATCTGTTTGCTTTCGGTGTTTTTGTGAGTGTGGGAATAACTGGTGAATGACGGGCACCCGATTTTCGCAATATTCTTGCTGGGGTGGGGTATTCCGGTCAGGAATCCACGAATTGTGGTGCGTCACCTTTCGACATCGATTTATTGTAGGGCCACAAATTTTCGAATGTCCAACATCTTCAGGGTGTTCAATAGAGGATTGGGGGCAGGTTGGAGCGCTTGCCGTATCTGAAAACTTCCTTTTCTAGCAAAGAAACTGATAAACCCAGTGATTGTAATAGATACATGCAGATTTTCTATAATCATTTTTGTTTTTATTATTCAAAAAATATTGAAATTTCATATACAAGGGTCCCTCAAAATTGACTATATTATTTTAACGTTGAAAATTGTAGTTATCTGCCTACCTTCCCCGGAGAAGTGGTCGTGGGTTGTTCAAATCGTCTTGTGACAGCATACCGACAACATCAGAGGGCGCATCCTGGTCGTACATGTAGCTATATCGAATAGAATGATGAATTTTTTTAATACACAACACTCACCGTAGGCCAATCCTTCGCTTAACCTCCTCGAACTGGCAGAAAACAGCGCCAACGAGGAACACCAAGAGCAAGACGTACCGGATGGACATTCTGAAAAACCGACCAGGTTAAAAGCGTATTTAGAACGATAAAAAGTAGAGAACTGATCAATGAAACGCCCCAAACAAACTCACTACGACATGCTCCAAAATCCACGCAGCCAAAAACACCTTAAAAGCAAACCACACTCTTGGCGTTAGCAAAAAATTGCCGCTCCACGGCAGCTAAGGCGCCAAAAATCTTGACGTCTTCTCTAAATGCTCTGTTCACTGAATGTGCCCTGGCCCGCGGAAAAAGGAGCCCATTTTCAGTGTCGCAGCTTGAGAGGCCCCATTATTCAAGGCGGTGGATAAAAATGTGGGGGAAATTAAATCCGCTCTTCTTGGTTGGGCGCATTATGGCATAGACTGATGGGAAGATTTTGGGGTGGTGGATGGGATAAAAGTGATGAGGAAGGGAAAGGAGGACCTTCTTCCCTTCTTCCTCGAGTTCTTTGATATTTGGTGTGAGTGGGCTATGGGAGGGGATGAATAACTGATCTGACGTTCGCGATTTTTGGGGCCGGCCAAATGTTTAGGAAGGTTGGACAAAATCAGCACAAGTTTGTTCACTTATTTTCAAATTGAATGAGAAAGACAGACACCGAGAGAGACATAGATAGTGAGAAAGAGGGGAGAGGAGAGAGAGAGACAGACAGACAGAGACCGAGCGCGAGAGAAAAACAGTGAGAGCTGGAGCGAGAACGAGAGGGAGAGAGAGGGAGAGTGAGAGAGAGAGAGAGAGAGAGACTGCTAAATCCTGAAAAGCGCCTAGAGACCCAATGGCATCACAAAAAATTCTGAAAAACATTTGATGTTTGGAAAAGCCGGCACTTAATTACCTTGGCTATTAAAAGGGACGGACTCGTTTCCGCTTCCCGGTGCGTGGCAAACAATTACATTGAGTGGGTGCTATTTCATGGGCGAATTCCGTGTTTTCGGGTCATTAAAAACGCCCGCGATCCGCTGATTCGGTTTGACGTGACGACTTTTATATCGCGAGCCGGATAGATTAAATATGTTTATTCTATTAGTGCGTCTTCAACAACGATTAATAGCTGGAAATTAGCGAATTATTAAGCAGGAGCAGGGTTGTTCGATTTCGGACCGGACTGGATCCGGATCTGGATCTTGATCGGATCCGGATCCGGATCAGCCGTAGGATCCGGAACCGGATCCAGACCCAGGGCGGATCCGATCCGATCCGGATCCAAGGAAATCGATCATGCAACCGAGTTAAATGCTAATTTTAAGATGCAAAGAAGATTCCTGCATCTGCGCAATGTATTTTTGCGATAAACATAACCGAATCAGCATCAGGATCGAAAATATAACTTCCGGTCCCTTTTTTCCTCGGATCCGCATCGGCTCCGGATCGGGTCGGATCCGGATCTGGATCTGCATCCGGATCCTACTGCGGATCCGATCCGGATCCGGATCCAGTTCCGATCCGGATCCAGTTCCGATCCGGATCCTTACCGATCCGGGTCCATCGGCGAACAACCCTGGGCAGGAGTGAACTTATACCAAGTCGCCGAGGTTTTTGAGCAATTATGGGTCAGCTGATGATAGGTATAACCGAATTTAAAGTCAATAAAACGAATAAACTAACGCTAACTTAACAATTTACCTGCCAATTTGGAAAGCAAACTTTTCAGTACAAGTCTAACTACGCAAAAGTTTGAAGACCACCACCACCACCTGAAGACTACAATATGACCAGCTGGAGGAACCAGTAACGAGGGGCTAATGGGGAAGTATTCAGAAGGAAGGGGGGGTGCAACTCGTGAATAATTCTTCCTTGCAAAAAGAGCCTGCGGAGCATCTCCAGGACGTGCGCATGTTTGCCGGATTATTCTCAAGGAGTATTTTCACATTCGTCGCGCCGAAAATCAGGGGTATGGTGGGTGGGTGGGCTTGCAAGAAGAAGAGCTCGTTGCGCTACAACGTTATTTGAAATGGGCAGGTTCCCAAAATGACAAATTGGGTTTATTTTTAAGAATTTAGCGGTGGATTTCAGCGCAGTTTTTAAGAAGCACACCCTGCATACCTTTCGGTCGGAGCGCAAAAAAAACTCTGAATTCAATTTTAATTTTTGGTCTTACCGTATCCTCCTCCCTACCGGATATACCGATTTCCCCGCAAAAACCGAATTAATTTTGGGAAATTCCGCGTGGTTCCCGATTTCCGGTGATAAATGTAGAAATTAGGGTTCCTATCTGACGTGAAACCGGCCTATTTTTGAGGCAGAACATTGAGCTTCAACTTTGTCCTTTGGGACAGAGCGCAAACATTTTTTCGGGTGCCTGAGGGTAGAAATTGATCTTTCAAAAGAAGCTCGCCCAGCCAGTTCAACCCTCAAAGACCCAGAAGTGGATCTTTGAAAACGTCAAAATATTGAAAAGACAACGCAACACCCAATCGGGCGTCACCAGAATATTCTAGTAGATGAGTAGATTGGTTTTTAAGCTCCGTGGCGACACAATGACGATGAAGAGGAAGGGGAACGGGATAACCCTCTTTTGATCTATCGAGCCGATTTATAATGCAGTACTTCCCGGAAGGGGTGAGGGCATGGTGACAGGGAGTGCATTTTAAATGTATGGTAAAAAATAGACAAAAATTTCTTGCAGGAGCGGATAAAGACAAATAATCGATCTTTTAAAATTATTGATGGCCACGAAGAAAATAAGTAAGAGCTATAAAAAAGGCGGGAGAGAGAGACAGAGAGAGAGAGAGAGAGAGAGAGAGAGAGAGAGAGAGAGATGGAGACAGAGAGGGGAAGAGAGCGTGCGAGCGAGCGCGCGAGCGAGCGACAGAAAGATAGAGAGAGAGAGAGAGAGAGAGAGAGAGAGAGAGAGAGTGTGAGAGCTAGTGTAGGTGACCTTCTCTATCAAGCTACCGCTAGGCTTCTGAAGTCCTTTAAAGCCGTTCCAAAGTACGCCCCGACCCCAGAACCTTACATGGCTGAAACCCGATACACATTCCCCCATTTTAAAGCGCCAGGCCACCCGATGACTTGATTTCCACTTAATTACGCGTCACCTGAGCTGGGAGCAACGTGGGCGAAATGGAATTACGCACCACAACTTGATCGCCCCAAAAAAGTACAAGCCGTCTGGCCAAATGGGGAACATCCAATTTGTCATCCGGGTACCGCAAAAATTATGCCTGGACCACTTCAAATTTGGGTGGAGCTAGCTAGGCATCATAGGAGAATTGAACATTTACGAGTGGCTCGAGGGAGCGAGGGAAGGCGAGAGAAAGCCAGAGAGGGAGAGAGATAGAGAGAAAGAGAGAGAGAAAGAGAAAGAGATGGCACACATGTCTTTAGGGCTTTTAAAGGTTGGCAAAGGGTTGAGTTACCCGCTGAAAGCATGATTTTTGGAATATTTATTTGACGTTCTGTGTGAAATTGGATTCTGTGCAAAAATGTAGGATGACTCTTCCGCAATAGACTATGAAAATTTAATGCTTGGAACAAGGCTGCACAGAGTGGGAAAGCTAAAAAGGCATAGATAGCTAGGGAGAGCCAGCGAACGGTAGATTTTGTAATTTGTTGTAGTTTGTATGTTCCGTTTCACGCCAATTTTTGTAACACATGATTTACTATAGTAAAAGCACAATTCCGAATGTCAGAACCGAATATGGGTGGGCCACAAAATGCGGCTCGAAATGATGAGATCCGATTTTGCTAGCTGGGAAGGGTTGGGGGGCCGCAAAATTTCAAATTTTGCGTAGATCTTGGCAGTGAACATCTGGGTGGCGGAAAGAATGAGGTAGAAAGCCTTGGCTTACATGTTAGAAAACTTACAATGACAAATGGGTTTTAGCTCGTTGCTATACGCGAAAAAACCGAGATTCATTATGCAAAGAGGTTGCGATGATCGTTATTTCAGGGAATTAGAGATGTTTAGAAGACGGGGAGTTTGGAGAGGAGGAGGGTGACGAAGGCAATGATGTGCGAGGCGTAGTGCTGCTTCTTCCAGACGCCGATCGTGTGCTTGGTGGAGTAGCCTGGAAAGAGGTGATCGTACGGAGAGAGCGAGAGAAAGAGTGAGATAGAGAGTAAACGAACTTACCGGTCTCGCTGGCACTTCCGTCGAAGACCATTCCCAAGTAGATGAGATGGTAGACGTTGACGGCCAAGAACAACACGTTGATGAAGGTGGCAACCCAGTTGCGGCGTCCAGCTCGTCCACGGTAGCGGTTCAGTCCGAATCGCGGGGTCAGCTTCTCACGGAGCTCTAAAATCGATTTTTAGAACTATGTTGAAGCAACGTCAATGAGTTCAGAAGGTTCAGATTGTTCAACTACCTACCGTGCTCAGCATAGCAGTAGAATCCAAGGGACAGCAGGACAGCGGAGAGCTGGAAGTTGAAGCCGTGGAAGAGGGCGGAGACGATATAGGTGGTGGCCAACGAGATGACATTTCCGTAACGGCGAGACTCGGCGAAGATGTCTGGAATTAGGCGGTAATTAACTTGTCTTCAAAAACTCACATTTCTTGAGGTAGTTGTGCATGGGAATGTTCCACGACACGACGACATCAACGAGGCGCCATGGGACCTCAATGGCGACAGGGTCGACGGTGAGGGTCTGGATTCCGGAGAGCTGGGCGAGGGCTAAAACATGATATATTGAATTCATGTAGTTAAGTGATATTGCCAATACTACTAAATAAGTTAAATTAAATTAAGGGAAATATTAAGTTTGCACCTACCCTGGGACAGGTAGCAGACAAAGTAGTGAGAAGCACGGAACGACTGGGCGGTTCCGAAGTTGCGCAACGCCTTCGGGAAGACGAGGTCGATGATGCATGAGCCCCAGACGAGGGTGCCGCCGGCGAGGAGGAGGGAAAACACGGTGTTGATCAGGGACTGGAGCTCGGTCTAGAAATCGATATATACTTTTTGATGACGTCGCTTGAGTTTGTGCGTTATCCTTAAGCTTTTGGATGTTAACTTTGTCGTTTGTCCTTAAGTATATAGTATGTTAACTTACCCTCCATGGCTTGGGGAGCAGGGACTTGACGTGCGCGTCGTAGGAGACGAACGGTCCGAAGGTGATGGTGGCCGGAGAGATGAGGTACGAGATCATGGTTGGGATGGAGGCGGTCTAAAATTCAGGGATTTAGATCTGTTCTAGTCAGTAGAAAAGCCTATGCTTGTTAGTATGAAACTTACGCGACGACGAACGAGCGATCGCTCAAAATCGAAAGCCAGAGATGACACCTTCATGGCGAGGATCATCAAGAAGCCGCGAGTGTTGGCAAAGTCCTTAGCGGGCAGGCGGTACTCACTGAAAATGTGGCTCATATTCGGAAATCTATCTGAGGACGCCTCACTACGGAATTAAAAGAAATGTTTTGGCTTACAGGGCAACGATGTATCCCAGAGCGGCGAGCGTCACGGTGTATCCAGACCAGCGAGCCGTGTTGTACTTGATGGCGATGGCGGCCAGGATGGCGCCGATCAGGGCGGTGCGAAGGACAAAAGCATTGTCCACCCATTGAACCAGGGATAAGTAGCCAAGGAAGAAGAGTAACGGGTCGAGGAGGTGTTTTTGGAAGCAGGCGGCTGAAAATGGCAAGTGTGGTTATACACTCTAGCTATGGCACGACAAAATATGAAGCCTTTTCAGTCTGAAACTTACGTAGATGCGTCGCCAATCTGCCGATGAAGACGAGGGCAAGGGTGTAGAAGATTTGGACCTGGACGGAGGCGATGGTGCCCTTGGCGCAGTCCTGGATCTGTCCAATCTTATTCCAGTCATTCAACGGGATTGGCCACCGGAACCAGCCCTCCGGAACCTCGGGCACAAGTTGGTCGACTACGTCCGCCGACGTCATTCTGACGAAAGAAATGTTAAAAATGAATCCGTTGAAGCTTATACTCCGGAAATAACAACGAAAAAGACAATCAGACAGTAATAATGTGGTAGGCTTTGCTTTAAAAACTTGGAAAACCAAATCCGCCGCTTTCCAATGTTTTACAGACCCTAAAGTCGCGTCAGGATCAATAAGTGGATCCGAAGAGCGTGGTATAAGCTCGTAAACACAAGGCGGAGAGCTAGCCTTGGCAGAGGGCCCGAAAAACAAATAGAAAAAAGCAACAAAAGTGCAATGTGATAGGAAGGGGAGAGAAGGGTTGGGCAGTCTAGAAAGATACGCGCCAGAAAATGTCAATGCAAAATTTGGCGCTAACTTTCTGTGCACTCACTAGGGATGCCGAGGGCAATAGTGCGCACTGGGGGACTGTGATAAGATGCCCTGGGCATCTGAAAAAGTGCCCTGGGCAAAATGGCTAGGACGCAGTTCATTGTATAGTGCATCTGTTTTGCGTTAGTGTGTAAGGAGTAAGGGAACGGAAAGTGCCGGTGAAGGAGATTTTTTACGCGCAAAAAATCTATTGAAAAACATTGCATATTCTGCTTATGCTATTTTGAAAAGCAGATATTGAAATCCCTTGATTGAATATTGCTAATTTAGCTTAGTAAATCAAGGAAAAGCTGCAATTGCTTTCCTAAAAAAGTATAACGACACTGTAGCACCTGAAAGGTTCTAAACAACAACTTTAAACCCTGAAATACCAAATCTCGAAAAACTGGATAGAATACTTATAAAAAATCATTTAAGCCTGAAAACCGATCCCAAATTTTGAATTTGGCAACGCGCCAAGCACGTATTTAAAATTAGGAAAAGATCGCGGCAAGACTGAATTACATCTACCAAATAACACCTGCAAAATCAAGGGAAAAGACGCAAAACCCACTAATCAAGCGGGAAAAGGCGCTATTACTGTGGCCCAAATACTACGCCCCGCTGCCTGTGGACAGGCCCCCGGCGTGGCTTGGGGCTGTTGGCAAGCGTCCAACAGGGCGAGAGAGCGCGATAGGGTGAGAGAACCTAGAGACGTCAGAGAAGAATGGTGCGAATGGTGGGTGAAGGGGTCACGAGGAGGGTTAGTGTGTCCCCATCAGGGGTCTCCGCCCACCCAAATGAATGACCTCGACTCGCATTCAAATCTGCATCCCTAGCGGGGTGCACACTATGCCCTAGCCTACGCCAGGCTCCGCCCATCGCCAATCGCCAGGCTGAAACATCTGTGCCCTACGGTAGCAGAGGGGGTGTGAAGGGTAGCGATGGAATAATTATGGGGGATTTATGGGTTTTGGGGCGCTGCAAAAAAAAACAATGATTAGAAATGTTGAAAAACGCGGAAGGAAATGCTCGAAATTCCATGAAGTGAAACCTGCAACAATAGTATTTATGCATGCGGTTTAGTTTATATTATATTCCAGGAAAAAGCGTACTGGTTTTTTGACCTCCTCCTGATGGCGGTTCTATATATTCTATGGCATTTAAAATTGCTGAATAATTCTAAAAACCGATACGTTGCCTGCGCCACGCTGTAGCTTAAATTCGATGCAGTTCCTCGTAAAAACGAAAAATAACTATCATACTCTTGAAAACTACTCCGTGCGCCCTACCCCATCATCCCCCCAAAAAGCAAAAAATTTCGACCGTGACAGGACTCGAACCTGCAATCTTCGGATCCGAAGTCCGACGCCTTATCCATTAGGCCACACGGTCATGTGGGGAGTCGCGGGAAGGGCCGTTTTCCCTTTGCGGAGGGGGCGGGGAGGGACCCGCGGGGAGTGAGAGAGCCCAGCACATCACCACGGACCCCTCTCCCGAAAGGGACTAGAAAGGAGAGGGAAGATGAAGGGGAGGGTGAGTCAACAACAACTCTTCTCTACTCGTATTTATCTGGATCAAAAAGTGTACAAGACCATAGCCGTTCTGAATATGTATGTAAATTTAGGGCCGTATGGAAAGTCCAAGCGTATCCATATCACGCAAGTATTTCCATTTTTTTGTCCACAGATACCGGGGTTGAAAGCGACTCCGCGACTTTTCAACCCTGGCCCCGTCTGAGCCTATAATATTCTTCACTTTGCATAATTCGCCCGGGCTGCGATGAAAATAATGAAAAACGCTCCATCTGCCTCTTTATATATGCAAATCGTTTCCTAACAATCATCTAACAAAAATGCCCAGCATTCGTCAATGGTGTACTGGGCTATCCGATAAATAATATTCATTCACTACTTAGCTCCCTCAACAGCTTTTTCGATTCCTCAAAGCAAAAATCTATTTCTGCAACTCTGGGACGAAAATAGATCACACCATCGGACCTTGTTCTCTGGTTGGTGTAAAACCCCGTCCTTCTGCAGAGATGGCGACCTTTCTCGCAGAAGAGCAGCCAAGAAAACAACCGTTTCTCCCCGTTGGATCACGAGGATAATTTTCCGTCGCAACTTTTGCGCTACTCACATGAAGGTAGCGTGCATTTAGGCTGCGTACAAAGAATGTTTTTTAGGTGCTATTGGTGTTTTCGGATGCGACCTAGCTGATTCGGAGCTTAAATTTCTCAAAAATACCATGTTTCGCAAACTGCTTTCGGGTCTACGAGCAAGGTTTTAAAGGTGAAATTTTGTTAAGCGCGGGCGAAAAATGAGCAAAAATTTTCGAAAGCAAAAATCTGCGGAAGCTCTCCGTTTTGCGTATTGACGCTGCAGTTGAAATTGGCTTTGATTGTTCCGGGGTTACCTTATATGTTAGCATCTCCCCAACCGTAATCCTGAATAGCTACGCTAAACCGTGACCCCATCAGAACAGCAACAACCCAAAACAACAGCTTCCACCCTGTCCTCATATCCGGCCCCTTCAGATCACGAGGACATTTGCTGTCGCAATTTTGCGGTTCTCCACATGAAAGAAGTGTGTCCCGGTCCGGTGGTTGGAGAAATGAATTTTGGAGAACTGGCACCCAAATGATAGATGTCCGCCTTTGTTTTCCAGCACCCTCCCCCCCCCCCGTCCGATCAGCTGGGGGTGGGGGCAGAGCGAAAAAGAGGAGAAACACCATAAAAGGCGAACATCCAGCCTGATTCGACAACTTTCGGTGCGTCGGGTACTCGGCCGAGGCTGGCTGCCGTTTTTTGGACATCCATTCCTTTCCCTCAACTTGTTTACGATCAACTAGAGCAAAAAGCAAAAAGTCTCGACCGTGACAGGACTCGAACCTGCAATCTTCGGATCCGAAGTCCGACGCCTTATCCATTAGGCCACACGGTCAGTGGGCGGTTGTGGCTTGGGAGGGGTCATCCCTTGGTGGCGAGAGGAACGCCGCAGTATCGGCATAACATCAAAAAATGACGATAGTTTTCGAAGTGTTGCGACAGAGGTTTGGCATCGGGTCTGAAAATTGCATTTGAGCTGCTTTTCTACGGTATTTAAGTGTCAGATTCAAATTAGGGGAATCAAATTTACGTTTAAACCAGTGCCGCCCCCCAATCTGGATTTCGACCTTGAATGCAAAGTTTGGCTGAATTTCCGGCCGGTCGGTCGGGCGGACAGACGGACATTCGAAATTTATATATAGTAGATTCTGCTACTTTAAATGATATTTTAGAGGCGATTACGCTCGATCGCTCAGTTTTCGTAAAGGGTAAATTAACTTATACTAAAATGCAGTATCAGTTAATATCACACTTTCTAAAATTCAAGACCCCGACCCTCACCCCCCAAGCCCACAAAAATCCACAATTTCCACGCTGCCGACATCCTTTTGTCAGCCGGGTCCGTGCTCTCCCGAATTTTCCATTTTTATCCCGCACACCCATTAGCGAAGAGACACCATAAATTTCCACTTGGTTCAAGGCGATTGCGGTGCTTTGCCCCCCCTATCTTCCGCTTCTTTCGCCGGTCCGCACCCGGCCGCGGGATTTCCCCGTGGTGATGGTGTGGGCGGTATGATTCGGCGCCGTTCGGGCTGTGAGATGGGTATAAAATGGATTTACAGCCCCTGAAACTTCACTACATATTCACTCCAGGTGGACCAGCCAACGGCAAGCGATGAAGATTCACGTCAAGGACTATCTGCTCGGCTTCATCCCCGTCACCAAGGTGTTGGAGGTATCGTTTTGTCATCCATACCGTAGCTATGATGCTAAACTAAGTTGTTGACGTCGAACTAACGTCTTTTCGTTGCTTTTTATAGCATCAAAAGTTTCTATGACTTAATGAGAACTATGGCAAAAAAAACTGAACTACAGCCGGATTTTTCTAGCCTTATCGGAACGCAGAAAAGTGATAATTGCTACGAAACCAGAATAATATATATGATCCCGTATATACAGGAAACAAATCGAATTCAGGTCGAAAAGTGGACCACAATCGAAGAGGTGAAACGAAAAGCCTCCTCCAGCGTCGTCCCCGATCTCGTCGGAGCTCTAGGCCTAGGAAAGACCAGCGGTAGGTGTTATTTGCTTGCATAAATAATATATTAAAATTCAAAAACCAAAGGAACAAATATTCTTTTTAAAAACTCCGTCATTCCATGCTATTTCCATGCTTTCAGAACTCTCCGGCGGCGGCTTCTTCATGGCCCAACCGGCGATGGCGAGCTTCTGGGGTGGCGGCGTCTACGGCGACAGGCGGACCCTTGAGACGTGTTGCATCAACGACGGCGACCTGGTCGACCTGACTGCCTTCTGAACGCTACTATTTATATTTTTCGCCTCCCAATGGGTTGTACAATTTGCGGGTTTTGAATATAGGCAAAAAGGTTGCGAATGTCTTTGTTCGAAAATGCATCAAATTTGGCTTCATAAAAACAATACCAGTCTCAAAATCGAGGCAGCAAAATTCCATTTGAAAGTCGAAAGGTCTGCTCCAATCTTTGACTTGCCCCCTTCAAAACCTGCGAAAACAACAACCCCCCAACCGACAAAAAGCCTTATCACCTCGATAGGGGCAACCCCCACCCCCATTTTTCGGCTTTGTTCCACTTTTTTTTCTCACACCCCGCCGTGTCGTTGATTTCACACTTTCTTTTCGCCCCTCGACTGCCATGTGGCTGAACACGTGGATGATGACCTCCAGCTAGTACCGGTATCTTCGAATGGATAAACGGATATTTTCTAAAGAGGCAAGATGAGTGGACCCTCATTTCGACGAAAGAACCCGAAGATCTACTGGGAGCAGTGGCGTGAAGTGAGAAATGGGTCTCGATCATCGCTAGGGCAGAGATAGAGATTTTAGGATGGACAGGGAGACCTCAAATAGGTGCGAGATGTGTTTTGATAAGGGGATCAGGCGGAAATGGAGTTGAGCATTCGAAAAAAAGCCGCTCGGAAGAGATCTACAGGTATGCCGGCACCGTTCATAGTATCATACCGTAGCTAAAACCTCCACGTACGTGAATAGGAAAATTTTCGTACAATTGATTCGTAAAAGAGTGGGTTGATTATAACTTCAAAATGAAGCGAGGTTCTCATAGGTTTTGGATGCTCTGTAAAATACCTCAAAACCGTTCGGTGCATTTTTAAGGTACGCCAAAAATGTGAAATACTTTTATCTTTGGCAATGAATTTAACCCAGTTTCCACTAACTCTCCAAGGTTCTAAAAGATAAAAACTGTCGTATTTAAATGCTGACAATTGCAAAGGCATAAACCTAAAGTAAAAACTGTTCCAAGACACTCCTTTGTACATCCTTTTCGCCGCTATGTAAACATCAACACTCGACATAATCTTTGGCATAATCGTCGCCGGGCTGTAATCGGAGCTGAACGCCAGGAGGGTAAACAAAAAGGGACAACACACCGGCAAGGGTTTGAGCACAGGGATGACCCGAAATATTAGGTAGCGCACTGTACATGACGTTACTAGAGGAAAGGTCGGCATTTCACACGAGCCTACAAAGACCAAACGATTTTTACAATCACAGAGGAATAGACCAAAGATATCTTGGTCATGGCGAATTTTTAGACATCGAAAATTTGACAAAATATGAATTTAATCATCATCGTCATCGTCATCATCATCATCGGTGGCCAATTTAAAGTTGAAATACGCCGCACCGTATTTTGCGACCAAAACCCCGGCGAATAGGGACGAGAAAGTCATGGTGGTGATCTAAAAATCAACTGAGCATCGCTATTTGATCAGAGAACATTTAGCACAGCATTATTACGCTAGTTTATTATGGACACTGTTGACACAACTAATTGCTGAGGGTTTTAAACGAAAACGCATGCTTTTCGGTCTTACAAAGTTTCCCGAGACTCTAAAATACCTAAAATTAACTTAAAAGTAGAGTGAAGCTGTACAAAAAGTGTTCGCCAGTAACAGTCAATAAAAAAATTACATACCTTGACAAAAAGCGGAAAACTAGTCGGTGGACACGGGCCAATCCCCTTGATCACCTGCTGGTTTTGTGGCTGAAACGATTAAGATAACGGAGGCGTTGCAAACGTGATAAACAGGATTAACGCCTTTTCCCATCGGATAGGTACTTTTATTTTTGGAACGCACCCAGGAAATCAGCTGTAAAACGGAGATATTTACCTGTTTCGCCGCCAGCGACTGCCCCAACTCCTTCAGCATGCCGATAAACGTCGAAGTGCCAGTCTTGATACTCATCAGACTGAAAGCTTTCGACATTTCAGCGGATACGCCGGGGGATAAGGATTCAGAAGGTGTAGTAAGATAAATAGATATGACTTAATAGAGGCGAGGGTTGAGACCGAAGACGGAAGCCAGTGAACCACATGGGGGATCGATACGTGTTGGATAAGAGAGTGTCGGCGCATAAGAGGAACAGAGTGATGCACCGGCAAAAAAAAGAGGCCCGAAAAGAGGGATCTTTGTCATTAGGGAGCTAACGAAAGACCCTGATGTATATAGGTATAAGGCCAAAGTTATAAGGCCGGAAATTCTTTTTGGAGACAGGAAACTGCCCTACTGGAATGTTAACAAGGGGAAAACCAACTTTTCCCAGTAATCCTGTAAGGTCCTATGACCAAATATAAACTATGTATGATAGATAATATTTTACCCAGTCTTTCGATATAAAAAGCCGGAAAAAATTTCAAATCTAAAATTTTTGACTTTCAGGCCAAAAGTTTATGACAAATCGCCAAAAAGGCAATTTTCGCATTTTCAAAAAGGTTTAGAATATTTTTTGTAACTTTTACTTTTTGTAACTTTTTTGTAGCACTACAAAAAACACCATAAAAATAAATTATATGTTATCAGGTATGCATGTGTGTAAAAGGAAAATTATCTTTGTGGCTCGATTAGTGGATCCAAAAGATTTTATACATTTTTTAGTCGAAAAAATCTGAATTCTGAATACACAACTTTTTTTTATTAGCGTGGAAACGCAGCCGTCGAGGACAACCCGGTTCGCTCACACAGCTGGTTGGGTTGCGCTGGTAATATTTTGATGATTTTGCCCATAGCAAGCATACCTGCAAAAATACAGTGTCGTCGACCACCGTCCAAAAAAGAGTAGCATTCACGAAAAAGTCCCTAAAAAGCGATTCTAATTGCCGATTCGGGTGGTGCCAGTCGGCGGTGGCCACGGTGTGTCCAGCCGGCGAACAGTGGTCAAAATCTCGGGTACATAAGGACCAAATTGAAGGGAAAATCAGAAGCTAACCAGCTTTGGTGATTCGGATGCTCATGAAGCTGCTGTGTTTTGCTGGTAGACCCCTTTTCCAGACCTAGAATGTCAAGACATTATAGGCCTGTTTGCGGTTGCCGCCGCCGGCAGTTGCCCTTCAAGCACGCTGCAGCTCATCTCCAAATGCTACACACCCTATCTAAAGTTCTTTGGAGCCAGTATGTTAATGTAAAATCGGGCAAGGCCGGCTCCTAGGCTGCACCTCCAAAACGCTACCGTCCTACACGGCCTGGACAATTCCCAGGGAGCTGATGTACCAAAATGGAAGCAGCTCCGTGTTTCCGGTTTGTAGGTATGCTTCCATTAGTACTAGTAAATTTGATTAAAATTGACTCTGCAGTGTGACAAAGACATTGTACGCCTGCCTCGGTAACAATGCTCCACTTTCCCTGGATTGCTACCAGGCAATGGGGTTGAGCGCCGTGGAAGCGTCCGTCTACCGAACCGACCTCTCCGCCATGCAATTCCAGTGTACCGCTGGCGTTAATGGTATCGATATCTAGCAACGGCCACTTTCGTTCCTAGCGCTGTACTCCACCTTTGACTGCTACCGTGCCGCCAGCGTCACCTACAACGCCGCGATCCAGAAATGTGAGACTGACTACGCCAAGAATGTTCAAAGTGATGTGTGCAAGTAAGAAAACCCATTTCCGTCACAATCTTTCTCGGCATCCACCGGTACGCTCAAATTTTAGGGCCATGAACACGATGATGGACTGCAAATCGTCGATCTATGGCAAACAGTGCGGCACTGAAGCCAAGTCGCTGAATTGTGGCATCGTGAGGACGGCCCTAGTAAGTCGATGTCGACTTTGCGAGTAAAGGGAAAAAGGGAAAAATTCTGTATAAGACTTAAGGCTTGGTCCTATTCCGAATTTCCATCCAGACCGAAAACACGTTACTTTTAGAACCTCCTCGACGGCTCGTGCAGTGCAAGCGGAAAGTTGAACAAGTGTGCCGCTTGTCACTAGAAGCTTGCCTTTGGGATAGCATAAAACCTAATAAATCATGGATTCAAGAATTTTGGGGATTAATGGGATCACATCGACAAAAAAACGAGCAGCACACATATGTACATGCGAATACGCAAACTAAGATTTGTAAATTCTCAACCAAGGATCTTTATTCACAAGTTGTCACATTGTTTTTTAAAACACCGGTTTAAAAACCGGGGGCGCTGCTGCATAGAAATTTGCGGTCTTTCGGGATTGCTCAACCGTGTTACATTTTCGATGTGACTGAACAAAAATTAATAAGAAAAACTATTTTACAAATCTTTTATTGTTTCTTCCGCTTTGACGATTGTCTTGATTTCCTTTACCATTAGTGCGCAGCTGTTTCTCAAAGCACAGTGTCGAGAGATGGGGCCAACCAAGCAATACAAACGACGGGCCCCTTCGGCGCATCAGCTGCAATTTTTTAGCATTGCCTAATGCAACTCGGAATTCATTTTTGCAAAAATGAATTTTCAAGGTTTTCGTTTTTCGAGAACCTGTAAAATCCATTACCCCTAAAACGTAAAATACTATTTTACTTGACAAATAAGCTACACTACCGCTTCCTTGCCAGCGAACTTTCTGGATATTGCAGCAATAATCACGAGCATTAGAACTCTCTGTAGTTTTCGACCTTCTTTGCATTTGCCACTAGAAGATAACCGTTATGTCTAGGTATGAGAAGGGCCGACTCGTGCCTATTCGCGCCATATCGATCCGTCGGCCTCGTCTGCAACGATGTCCGGCCGGCTTACAGACAACAACCCGGTTTTCGCCGCTTCACCTCGCTAGTTTGCGCCGTTGATAATGTGGTATGTTATCTACTTGCCTCCGTATTTTCCTGGATTAGGTGCTTCACTATCGAGCCGAGAAACTTCGACTAGCCGCAACGTCAGACTCATTTCCGGAGAAGGTCACGCATGTGATGTGCGATAAAAAGTATCTCAAAATCTATTGATTATCTTTTTTTCAGTTGCATTTATGGCGTTGCCGGTTCTCGCATCGGAGTGCTGCCATTATGCCGGGATATTACACGCTGGATTGACACGGTGAAGTCCACGAAACACTGCATCATATTTGGCAGCCAATTTGTTGTTGTCGACGTGGACAATGGTTTGCGGGTTATTGACGTTGAAGATGGGACGATAGTGTGTTTTTTTTTCTGTCTGCGCTTTACGCAACGGAGGAATCAGACAATACATAATTGCTTTAGGCACTGCATATCGAAGGCTCGCCCCATTTTGACATCAGTGCCCTCGTCCATCCTCCCACATACGTCAATAAGGTATTGCATGAAACATCAGAACTTATGTGAGTTTTTAGGTGCTATTCGGAAGTTCTCAAGGCAAGCTGCGGCTGTACAACACGAGGACGGGCAAGATGATCCATGAATTTGCTAGCAAATTCGATGCCCCGATCGTGAGATTGGAGGTGCGTGGCCGTGGAACGAACCTAAGAATCTCTTCTTTTTAGCCAACGCCTGCCGTCGATGTAATCGCCATCGGTCTCCAGAATGGACGCATTATTTTGCACAATGTCAAGACAGACGAAACCGTCTGCAGTTTCCGGCACGACAATGCGATTACGGCGATCGGATTTAGGTATATTTCTAAAAAATAACGATAAATGTCTTAACAGAAACGACGAGGCTCCGTTGATGACCACAGCAGATGAAACGGGTATGATCGCTGTCTGGGATCTGGAGAAAAGAGAACTGGTAAGTCATTTTTAGGTTGCTCTAAAATAAAAATCACGTTTTACGAAAATCCTAGCATCATATTTCAGCTCGGCCGAATTTCTGGAATTCACACAGCAGCCGTCACCTCTCTCTACTTCATGCCGGGCGAGCCTGTGATGATTTCTACCTCGGAAGATAATTCGATGCGTGCATGGATTCTTGATCAGGTAGAACTTTTGGTTTTTGCAATTGTTTCCTTTTTAGGCCGATGGCATGCCGCGGCAGCTTGTCATCCACGAGGGCCATTCTGAGGCCATACAGACAATTTTATTCACGTAATTTTTGATGGATTTTTATGTTATCGTATTTTTAGTGGCCAACACGAGGTGATGTCCGCTGGGCTCGACGGGTCGCTACGAAAATATTCAGTCGAGAACCAGGCGATGCGCCACAAACTGGGAAGCGCCGGGACGATGGCGAAGTGAAGATTGCAAAAGCCGCTGTTTTATTTTTTAGAGCCAAAGCTAAGAAAATGCACATCGATTTGGACAGCATCAAGTTGGAACCGATTGTCGAGATTGCGGTAGTTGTTCATTCGGTCTAGAAAATGATTTTTAGATGGGTACAACCCGTTCGGCACAATGGGACAATGTTCTCTGTAGACATCGCGATACGTTAGTCGTGACAACGTGGACGACATCTAAAAGTACACAAGGAACGCATAGAGTAATTTTTATATAATGTGAATGAATTACTGGTACAATTCGGATAAGCGGGGGGAAACCAACTTTTTTTTTGTCGGCCCTGGTGGGGATAGTAATCAAATATAAAGCGTTTTCACATTGTTTTTAGCAAAATTTAAGCCTATTTGAATCGGAAAAACTTTTTAAAAAGTTAGAAAAACGCTTGAAAAAGTCGAAAATTTGGTCATTTTTGGGCCGAAAAAAAACGATTTTTCGACCTAAAATTAAATTTTTTAATTAAGTTTTGTAAAGTTTTTATGTTTAGGAATCAACTATAATAATTTTCTTGACGCGTCCGTCCGAAGCCGAATTCAACTCGAAGGGGAAAAGAGCTAGAGCTTAGCTCTCTTCGGATTCGGATAGAGCGCCGTCAGAAACCCCCAAACTGATAAAAAAACTACGAAAAAGTTTTAGTTTAAATTATTAAAATGAACTTTGAAAGTTTTTTCCTTAGTAAAAGGGGTGGGGGACGGTGGTTGGGTGATTTTGGACATAGTGAGCCAGGTGGCGCGCGTTTCGTGGATGAAAATTTTCACGGGGGATTTCATTTCTTTTTTTTCTATCATTCCATCCGGTCGGTCGTTATTTTTGTTTTTGAAGGGGATTTCAGCCATGGGGGGTATCTTAAGCCATCGGGAAGGTATTTAGGTAGTTTTTGAAGGGGATTTCAGCCATGGGGGGTATCTGTAGCCATCGGGAAGGTATTTAGGTAGTTTTTGAAGGGGATTTCAGCCATGGGGGGTATCTGTAGCCATCGGGAAGGTATTTAGGTAGTTTTTGAAGGGGATTTCAGCCATGGGGGGTATCTTAAGCCATCGGGAAGATATTTAGGTAGTTTTTGAAGGGGATTTCAGCCATGGGGGGTAGCTTAAGCCATCGGGAAGGTATTTAGGTAATTTTTGAAGGGGATTTCGGCTAGGAGAGGGTCTAAAGCCGTCAGGAAGGTATCGAAGTAGTTAGTGGAAGCAGGTAGATAGGTAGGTGTATTACATGGAGGGTAACCCGAAGGCCAGATGGTTACAGTCGCGAAGCGACTGGAACCATCTGGTAGCTATAAACAATTTAGAACCACTTCCACTATTTATATAAAAAATATAGGCTTGGGCGGAAAAAAGTTCGGTTTCCCCCCTCCTAAAATCCCCCCGCTTATCCGAATTGTACCGAATTACTTTTTGTTTAGTTGGCCCACAAGCGATTTACGAAAACGGACACCTGGCAGGGGACGACCGCCACCTCGATCGCCATCTCGCCATGCGGAAATTTTGCATTCATTGGGTATGTGGCATCGAATTTCTAAAGCCAGTTTTCTTTAGGTATTCCTCTGGGCATATCGATCAATACAACGTCCAATCTGCCCGTCTCAAGCGTACATTTGTAGCTGAACTGACGGAGGTTCGAATTTCCACTAACGAAATCACGCTTTATTTTAGGAATCCAAAGAAAATGGTGTCGCACATGACACTGCCGTTTGCGGCCTCACCGTTGATGCCCTGGGCCATGAACTGATCAGCGGTGGTCGAGATGGGCGGCTGAGATTTTGGGATCTTCGCACGGGTAATTTATCAACGGCATAATTAGTAAAAAGCTGACAGAAAAATCTGAAAAAAGACATTTAATGTTTAGGCAAGATGAAGGCCACCTTGAAAGCGACAGGCAGCATCGTGAAGATGGTCTCCTGTAAGGCGAACAGTCTGTTGGCGGTCGCTTTGGAAAATCTGGATGGCTGTACGGCTCCTTTTTTCCGAAATACGCCATCCCTTTTTCAGCATCCTTCGTCTCGGTTTTCGACATTTTGACGCGAAAAGCTGTGCGTGTGTTCAAGACGATTGGAAACGGGGTTAGATCAAACCTCAAAAGTATGGTGGATTTTTTTAGCTCTTGGCGCTGGAATTTTCGTCAAATGGTCGCTGGCTGTTGACGTCCGATGCCGAGGGATACATTCGGGTAATTATTTCAACATTTTTATGAAATAACAATTTTTTCTAGATTTGGGAATTGTCAACCTCTTCCCTCATCGACGTGATGCTGGCTGGATCTCCCTGCATCGGGCTGTCGTTCAACGAGACGGGCCACTACCTGGCCACGTGCCACGCCGCCGAGCGCGCCATCTACGTGTGGGCGAACAAGACGCTGTTCATCGGGACGATCCCGTTGAGGTCGTTGCCCTTAGATTACAAGCCGAGCTGGGAGCAGACGAGGTGAGTAGCCGATATTCCTCCAAATCATGCTTATTTTTTTTGTAGATACATTCCCGATGTCGAGGATGCGCCAATGGAGGAATTGACCGCAAAATTGGAGCAGGTTTATAAATTTTATGCGGCCCAATCAATCGACCACCTAGCTTGACGCATCGCTTGTCACCTACTCCGGCCTCGCCCCGTCGCGCTGGGCCAATCTCCCCAACATTGCAATCATCAAGGAACGGAATAGGCCTGTCGAACCACCGAAGGTATTTTTTAAAGCTATTTCTATTCGTTTTATTTAGAAACCAAAACAAGCCCCGTTCTTCCTCTCCACTGCTCCGACTCTCGATGGCTTTGAATTCGAAAAGATGGATACTGGTAAATTGAGCTTCAGCGGTGAAAACCCCCTTTAGAAAACATCGAAAACGAGGAGCGGAAAATCCTGGAGGCCAAAAGAAGCATGCTCGAAATGGAGAGTACCTTTTCGACAAAGTTGCGGAGGTTTGTCAAAAATTATTGTTCTGATCGACTTCTTGCAGAGCAAAGTCCGAGGCCGATTTCATTGCTTGTTTTGCCGATTTGAAGCAGATGAGCGTGTCAGCGACTGATTTTCAGGTGATTGGGCAAAAGGTTGCTAAAAACCTGATATTCAGATCCGAACACTTTCCGAGGATGTTCTTGGCAAGTTTGTGCGTATGCTATTGGCGGTAATTTTTTTCGATCGCTCAGAGAATAGTCCTTAGGTGGAAAAGACGCGGCAAAACTTTGACTTGACCCAGGCCTACACGGCGGCTTTCACCAAGATCCACGGGTACAGAAATTCATTTTTTTGCAGTTTACTTTTTTAGCAATTCCTTATGGAAATCTGACGCAGATGACGAGCTGACAGAGGCGCTGGCCGAATTGGGGGATCTTCAAGAAGAGGTAGTTCGCTTCACTAGAATTCACGCTTTTTTTCCAGATCTGGACAGAATACGACACGCTGACCCTCCACAACGTCGCCGTGGTCCAGTGGGCGAAGAATGCGTTGTTATAGAAATAGAAAAATGTTTCTTTTTTGTTTGTTGTTCTACTTTGTTGATTTGATTGTTGTTCCGCTCAAATAAAATGTTGACTTTGTACTTGATGGGCGATTTTAATCAGGCTTTTATTTGCCTTTTCATATCGAGAAAATCAATTTTTAACTCAGTCCTGTATCCATTTTATATAACTCTTTAGGGATGGATTTCCAAAATCGTGCTGGTGGTCGTACGGGCGGTGGTGGCATGGCCTCGGCGGCCGATGCCGGTGTGGAACGACGTGAAAGACTTCGGTAAACTAGAAATTACCCCGAGAAAGCTCCTTCTAGGCAACTTGCCCTCGAGACGATCGATCTGCAGAAGGACCCCTACTTTATGCGCAATCATGTCGGAACATACGAGTGCAAGCTGTGTCTCACGTTACACAACAATGAAGGTACAGCCTATTTTACCGTTGTTAAATTAACAATTTTTAGGTTCTTATCTGGCGCACACGCAGGGCAAGAAGCATCAAGCTAATTTGGCTCGACGTGCGGCTAAAGATGCGGCGGTATGAAACCTTTCAACTGGGAGGAAATGTTGTTTAGGACCAACCGTTCCTCCCTGCCCTTCAACAACCGAAGGTCGACATCAAGCGTTTCGTAAAGATTGGTCGGCCCGGTTACAAGGTATTTATTTTGACGAGGATTCCAGTATTTTGTAGGTTACTCGTGAGCGTGACCCCCACACTGGCCAGCTAGCCTTGCTCTTCCAAATCGACTACCCCGAGGCTGGAGACGGAGTTGTTCCACGGCACAGGTTTTCTCTTTGTTTTTCGATCAAATTCTGTATTTTTAGGTTCATGTCAGCATACGAACAGAAGATTCACCCTCCAGAAAAAAAGTACCAATACCTGCTTTTCGCCGCCGAGCCTTACGAGACCATTTCTTTCAAGATCCCTTCCAAGTAAGCTGAAGTATTTTGCCATCTAAATTCCTTTTTTTCAGGGAGGTTGACAAGGCCGAGAACAAGTTCTGGACGCTGTGGAACAAGGAGACGAAGCAGTTCTTCGTGCAGGTGGCCTTCCGAATGGAAACCCGCGGAATGGACGACGGCATGCCGCCCATCCCACCAATGCCCCCGATGGGCCTCATGACCGGTTTTATTGGTTATTAAATGTCGGAATCTCGATCTCTACCGTTTATCTATCACCTCGTTGTTGTCCCTTTTTGCCCATCCCACTTCTTTTCTCACTTTTTTCCGTGAATAAATGCTACCACACGTGACCATCAGAGAATTTCAGCGTTGACATCGTATTTGGGTTTCTGAAAAAGTTTACTAATTTGGCAAAAGATGGCGTGGATCCTATTCCTCTTAATTTTTGCTTATTAGATCGATTATGGAAGTCGATCGCATAACAAGCTTCAGTCAGCATAAACTCCAAAGGTAAATTTATTGTATCTGGCTGTGTTATATCAGCACTTAGCCTGGCGGATACACTACAATATGACGACTACTCAAAAGCTGTCGAAGAGGGACTGACCGGTCTCGAGTTCTTCCGACTGATCCATGCCATTAGGAGTGAAATCAAGGTTAATTTTATTTGTCATTAGCGAGAAGGTCCTTTAGGTACTCTACGACCTCACTGAAGCTCCATCCGCCATCGATTCGCTCGATGAGACGCGCCCTTTCCTCTACGAGCTGAGCGCTCTTCTTGTTGAGCTTGGTAAGCTGGAATCGTGGAAAGTTGTTCAACGCTTGAGCTTTTAGATTGTGGCCAGATGCAGCTCCTTTCCGGACCACTGGAAGACCGATTTTCATCAATTGCCAATCGGCAGGCCCTCGTCGACTTTTTGCTTAGTGAACTAAAAACTGCCAGGTTGTTGGAGATCGAGCGGGGCAAGGAGCCAGTAAAGGTATTTATTTTTGGGGAATCTGCGTATTTTATGAAATCTGCAGGTAGTCGACACAGATGTCGCGTTGGCATTGGATTCAGCGCTCGCAGTACTTGGTGCTCAGCGTCATCAATATCCGGCAAAGGAGGCTATCGACAATGTGATGCGCCTGGTAACCATGATTTCATACGTCGACCCCTTTTTTAGGGCGATAGTGTGCTTCAGAATATGAGCTCAAGACCAACGCCCCTACTGCACGAGAAAATTGACCCGATATTGTGGGGTCCTATTGAACAGGTAAAACTATTTTAACGTTTATTGTAGCCTGTTTAGCTGTGTCACCGCTTCGCCGCCGACCTACGTGCACGAAACCTGCTCCTGTTAAAACGCATTGACGTGACGGTCAACTCATTCCTTTGGTAAGCCATTTTGCATTCTTTTTGATGGCCCACATTCCAGGTCTGAAAAAGTGCGGAAGCATGAACGCGAAATTCTTCAGCTATATGCGGCGCGCAGAGAAGCCATGACAAAGGCAAGGTTCCGCGGGGGATTCAATTAAGGCGTTTTTACAGGTTGCTGTCCCTGACATCATCCTCCTGCTCGCTGCCTCTACTGATTTGTTGCGAATCGAGAGGGTGAAATATATTAGTAGTTTCAATATCAATTCCTTTTTGCAGGCTTCCGGTTCAAATGTCCGTCAACGTACAAAATTCGGTGTACGACCCTCTGTTGAAATGGGCGCTCCGAAAGATCGGTAAGCAATTTAAAATTTCGGATTGATACAATCCAGTGTGTGAGTTTTATGTTTCTTGACATTTTTTTCACTTTATCCTTTTCAGCGGTGGCCGAATCGAAGACTTTGCAGCTCCACCACGTGAGACTTTCCGTGGCCAACGTGGAGGTAGGAATAAAACGTTTACTTGAACAATTTTTAGGTTATGGTAACCGGGGAGGCCGTGGTGGCGGGGATCGTGGCTTCCATCGCGGTGGCGGCAGAGGTAAGCTTGGTAGCCAGGATTCAGATCAGACTCTAGGACGCGGCGATGATGATCATCAGCAGAGGGGTGGCGGTGGACACGCCGGACGTGGTGGTGGCCGTGGCGGGCGCGGTGGCTATGGATCGCAGGAGGATCAGGCCAGGAATGAGTACCAGCAACGACATGAAGAAGGCCAGGGGCCACAATACCATAGAGGTAGTCAGACCCTTTCATTTTTCTAGATGATTGGCCGTGTAATTCCATTTTTTTATTTAGGTGGACATCAGCGAGGCGGCTGGACTCCCCGTGGACGTGGCCGTGGTGGAGGTCGCCCTTTTTAAATGCAATTACCCGTTTTAGCTTGTTGCTAGTCGTTTTTTTTGCGTGTGAAGTATTATGTCGGGCCGTTTGGAATAAACATTTTTGTTTTATTTGTTGTCCAAGCCTTACACTCTGGGTTGGGATCCTGCATAAAATTTCTGTGGCTATGTTATTTTTCTGTTGTGTGTGATCCATTACGCGCCGAAAATCGGGGCTGTTGCGGCTGGGTCTTGGGTGGAATGGTTGCCCTTGGTGTTCGCCCCGAAATTGAAATTTATATGGGGTAACAGATAGAGAATCGGAAGGCGTTTTCAATAGTTTTGCTTACACCTGTCCCCTGATTTGACACTTGCGATTATCGATTCTTTTGTTTTACACATTGGAAACTAATCCACCACATTTTTCCAGAAGTTCGACCTTCCCTTAACCATGGGTGCCGATTCGGATTCGGGTTCCGATGATGAGCTTAAAAACTTCAGCAAGAAGGAGCTACAGGTAGTTGTATACTTTTTTCGAATAGCAGGTTTTTTTCAGGAAATTGAGCGCAAAAGGCGGCGCAACAAGAAGAAAAACACTGCGCGTAAGCGAGCGGATGAAGTCGCAAAGGTCCGTATTTTCCGAGCGGGTCAAAATGACAATTTTTAGGATTCCGGGATTTCCGGTACCGATACTGAGGAAGCCGAAGCACGCGCAGCCATCCGTCGTGAAGCCGAAGTGGCTAAGGAGCCAGAACTTGCTGTTGACATTGAATACGTTGGCGAGGCGCCGGTGCTCGACACTTCTGACCCGAACTACAGCTACTTCAACGAAATCTTCAACACTTTCAAGGTTGGCTGAAAGGTTTTTCTTGTTAATTTCGGTATAGATCGGAGGTGAAACAGCGGTGAAGGAGGAGCCCGTCAAGGATGCTTTTCCCATCCAAACAAAGCGCGACGAGACGAAGGCTGCCATTACCGAAAAGATTTTCCAGGTAAGAACCATTTATCAGCTTTACATTTCGTTTTTAGGAAGAACTAGCCACCAAAAAGAAGGAGAAGGGCGAGGAGGAGAAGTTGAGCAAGAAGAAGCTGAGGCTGGCGCTGCAGCCTTCGATCGCCTCTTTGAAAGAAAACACTTTGCGCCCTGACGTTGTCGAATGGGCCGATGTGACTTCACGCGACCCGCATTTGCTTGTAGCTATGAAGGCCTACAGAAACACTGTCCCGGTGCCTCGCCATTGGAATGCTAAGAGAAAGTAAGCTATCAATTTTATTTCATTTTCAGTGATTTAGGTACCTTGCCGGAAAGCGTGGTTTCGAGCGCGCTCCTTTCCAATTGCCAGAATACATTAAGCGCACGGGGATCCAGGAGATGCGCGAATCCCTATGGGAAAAGGCAAGCGAAAATTTAACCGAAAAACTGAGAAATCTTAGGAAAATTCCCAAAGTTTATCCTCGAAGATGCGTGAGCGAGCCCGTCCCAAGCTCGGCAAGATCGACATTGACTACCAGAAGTTACACGACGCCTTTTTCAAGTACCAAACGAAGCCCAGCATGACACAGATGGGAGAGTTGTATTACGAGGGCAAGGTATGTCTTTCCTATGATATCAATTTGCTTTCCAGGAACACGAAGCACAACTACGAGACCTGAAACCCGGAAATTTGACTGACGAGCTGAGAATTGCGCTTGGAATGCCTGTCGGCCCGGTATGAGCGTAAAAATTCGACTTTCAAGAGCTTTTCAGAATGCGCACAAATTCCCACCGCCGTGGCTGATCGCTATGCAACGTTACGGCCCCCCTCCGTCCTACCCGAATCTGAAATGCCCCGGTTTGAGTGCCCCGATTCCTGAGGTAAAATTTCGAAAGATTATGGTTTTATTTTTACTTTCAGGGTTGTTCCTTCGGATACCATGCTGGAGGTTGGGGAAAGCCGCCGGTCGATGAATACGGAAAGCCGCTCTATGGTGATGTTTTCGGCCTGATGGTAAGTATCGTACTGTAGCATTGTTATTTATTTATTTAAATGCATGCGCACTTGACGTCGATTTATTTATTTACTTTTATTCATTTTTTAGGTTTCTGCTGTGCAAGATCAAGAAGACGAAAATCTAATTCAGCGGCGCTATTGGGGCGAAATCGGCTCCGATGAGTCCAGCGAAGAAGGCAGCGAGGAAGAATCTGAAGAGGAGGAGGAGGAGCGGGTTAAGGAAGGTTGGTTTCGGTTAGAATTTCTTTTATCTTTGTTTAGCCGCAACGGCTATTGGATTGAAGACGCCGATGGAAGGCCAGGCAACTCCCGCTGTTAGCGTTATCACGCCGAGCGTCATCACCGCTGGAGCGGACACTCCCGAATCTATCGAGCTCCGAAAACGTCGAGTGGATGAGAGGTGAGAAATTTTATTTCGACAAAGTGAAAAAAAATCGTTGTTTTTGTCGCATCCTACCTTATATAATTTGGTCGCGTATCTTTGTCTGTGTGTGTGTGCGGAGGTCAGTTTCGAGGCTCGATTTGAGGGCCTTCCCGTGTCCAAAACGCCCTAATTCTCCGTCACCCGGGGGGAATCGACCCTCCTCTTTCCGATGGCGTTTTCAGAATCCCGATAAAATACAAGCTTACAAAGTTAAAGCCGGTTTTATTGATTTTTAGGGGTCCGGGCAGGCTAATTTGCATAATGTGAAAAAATACAAATTTCCTCATTCATGCCAGTTGCACTCGCCCGTGTGGTCGGCAGAGGGGAGGGGTCCGAAGGACCCGAGTGATCGGAAAGTCAAATTCATCATGCAAAAACCGCATTCCAGCGCCCAAGGCCCGCGAAGCGGGTTTTGGGCGCTGGTATTTTAATGATTTGCTTGTTTAGTACTGTCGGCGCTGAAACTCCTGGCGCGGCCTATCATATTATCCCGGAGCGAAAGGTCGACCGAGTTGGCGGTGCAATGATGGCCAGCACCCATGTCTACGATCTTTCGGTTTGTAGCTTCCTCTTCAAATATTACATCTAATATTTAGAAAAAACAAGCTGTCACTGAAGGTGGAATCGAGGTTTCGCTCGACCCGGAGGCCCTGGATTTGGATCAGAAGAAATTGGAAGAAAAGTAAACAAAAACGTCCCTTTCTATATGCTTTGTTTAGGTACGATGAACAGCTGCGCAAACGGGGCAAAGATGGCGCCGAAACGACGGAGGATTTCTCGGACATGGTCGCCGAGCACAACGCAACCCAGCAGCGCAAGCGCAAAGCCCAAGAAGCCAAGAAGGGCGACAAGGGCAGCGGCAAGAAGTACAAAGATTTCAAATTCTGAATTTATTCCGTCGATTACCATGTTTTGTTTATTGTTTTTTCCACCGTGATTTTCCCCTTTGAAATTTTCGTTCACATGTTAAATAAATTATACCAGCAGTATTTAGGGTTCTAGCGTTTTAAGTTTTAGAGGATATTGTCAGTGAATATAGGGGTTCGTTGGGAACACGATTTCTTTTTTTGTGGGTGAAGACTTTTAGTTGGGTGCCGGGCACTTGTTGAGCTTTCCGTCGGCGTCGCAGGTTGGGTCGACCAGGTTCTAAAGGGGGTTTTCACGGTTGTATCGGCTCGACTTACGAGGGCAACCCTCGAAATTCCGCAGGTCAAAGCTTTCAGCTGATCACCACACGCTTTTCCATAAATGCTTGATCGGCAGTCCATCAATCCGTTCATCGCCCTGAAAAATAGTTTAAGCCGAAACTTATAGGTTTCTGTAGATTTTGAGCAACCTTCATAAATTTTATCTCTTGAAAAAAACAGTCGGAAGTAATACTCACTTGCAAACGTCAACCCTCACATTTTTCCCATAGTCGGCGGTGCACTGTTCGAACTGGGCCTGGTAGTGCTCGGCCGCCGAACGGTAGCAGTCGAAATTATTGTAAAGCGCTGAAGGAGGGAGTTTGAGAAAACATGTAATCTATACCATCAATTCCAGTGGTGCACTGGAATTCCATACTCATAACGTCCGTTTGGTAGTTGGAAGCGTCGGCGGCGCTCAGTCCAAGCGCTTCGTAGCATTCACGTGGGACGGGAAGGTTCTTGCGCAAGCAGTCGGCCAATGTCCACGTATTGCTGAAAACGAATTTTCGGTAGGATTCGATCCTTGTTGTTTTTTGTCGAGGTTGCAAGCTTACCTGCAGACTGGGAAAATTGCGTTACGGCCATCTTTCTGGTACATTTGCTCCCTGGGTACTTGCCAGCTTGACGGGACCGGTAGGTTCTTGCCAGCGGCTGAAAACGATGAAATTCGTACCTGTTTTTCCGAACATTCAATCTGCTGCTTTTCCGTGAAGCTTTTTGTTACAATGAGTATTTAACGAGTCAAACCGCATAAAACGTACAAACACCAAAAAATCGCAGATACGGCGCATAACAGGTCGAAATTGTCTGTAGCAAGCTTGCTGGACACTCGGCTGTCACCACGCCCAACATTGCTAAATTTCAACCTGCATACTGTAGCGATTATCTAGCTTACCAACCACCCAGAGAAGCTGCATGATTACAGAATGTGTTTGGATCGAAACTAGACCCTTTCTACCGTCCTTTTATCTGGAATCTTCTCCGGCTTATCCGGTAGTCTTATCTTACTGGGGCACCGGGCCGAGGCTGCCGACGGGCAAAAAGTACGTGAAATGAGGTTGATAAGGCCAAAAAAATGTTGGATGGACCAGCGCGAGGCCGGTCCAAAATTACCGGAAGTTTTGTGCGGGCTCGGCCGGTAGTTTTTTTTAGATTTTTTCACTGGGGTACTGTTTACGCCGTAGGGATACGTACGAGGGCTACGGTGTACGTTGCCCCCTCCCGTCAGCCGGAATGTTTTGGCTATAACTTTTTTATTTAACGTTATTGTAGGCTCAAATTCAAGCTCTTAGGATATTTTTCGCGGCACTATTGAATGGCGTTGCAAAACTCCCGACAAAAATATAGCGAAAATACCGAAAACTTCGAGTCCCTTCGGCTGTGGGGGGGGGGTGTAAAATAAACTTTTACCGACAGGTGTCGAAAAGGCATAAATTTGGATGTGATAGCTCATAAGAAACCTAGGATTTTGCTAAATTGTTTTGAGATGTTTTCGTGAAACTTACGTTTCAATAATTGCGGCTTTATCACGTTCTGATCATTTCAGTGAGTTTATTGTCGCTTATTTCATATCAACAGCCAGATCATCCTCTTGCTGCTTGCTCTCGCGGCCGTTGCGCGATTTCTTCTGGTGATTCAGGATCCGAGACGATTCCAATTCATTGATGGCAACTTTCAGCCCATTGGCCACCGGCTTGTCGAGTTCCTCGATAAGGGTGTTGATCTGGAATAAAGTTTTTTATTTTATTTTCATCATTTTTTCACTCGTCTACCTCTTCTTTGATTTCCCTCATTGGGCGAGTGCGCTGGTTGTAAATGGAAAAATAGCGCTCGATGGCTTTAGCAAGCGATTCGGTATATTTGCGGAATCGGTCTCTTTTTCCGGCCTCTAGTTTGTAGTATTCGTTGAAGTGTTCCTAAAAAGTTACATTTAAGGAGAATTGTCTAAAAAAAATTTTGTAAAACATACCTTAATCTCCCCACCGATATTATTCTCTGCCAAATAGCGAAAGGTTTCCTCTTTTTGCTGGGTGTACGTTAGCTTTTCATCTTAATAAATATCTTTTTAGTACCGTTTTTATATATGCTAACCGGTCTGATAAGCCGTAATATCCTCCAGCTGGGAATCCGTAACCTTTGAAAAGTAATCCGGTAGCACGTAGCGCAAAAAGGTCAGCTAGAAGGTAAAAAATTCATTTCAAAGAGGCGCACACCTGGCTCTCCTCCAAATGATCCCCAGATCTGCCAATATTGGCATAGATTGGGATTATTAAGGGGAAAAGGAATATCAGGAGCATTTTGCAGGTTTCTTGAAATGGCTCCGAAAACAATTGGAAGCTTTTATAAACGAATTCCAGATGTTGCGCCGCTTGGATTGAGAGCACATCTGGAAACGGAAAAGCTCACATGACCGGTTATTTTGATCAAAGAAATATTTGGAATTTAAATCCTGCGCTTGCTGTTTGTGATGTACTAATATCGTTAAGCCACTGAAAATTAGAATAATTTATTGTCCCGTCTGCAACAGTAGATACAAATAAATGACACTTAATGAGGGCTTATTTGCGGCCAAGAATTCCTCCAAGGAGTCCACCACTTCCTCCTTGTCCTCCTCCAAGAAGTCCGCCCAGTAGACCACCATTTCCACCAGTCAAACCACCAGTCAATCCACCGAGAAGTCCCGAATCTCCACCAAGAAGGCCACCCAGAAGTCCGCTATCGTTGTCGAGAACGGATCCGAGAAGTCCACCGACCAATTTTCCATTCAGAATTTGCAGTAGAAGACCATCAACAACACCAGGGGCACCAGATGGACCACCAATCAGACCTGAAAATAGAATATTAGAAGGTTTAGAATGTATTTAGATACCATCAAGAAGAGGATTTCCATTGGCACCAAGAAGATGTCCGAGAAGACCTCCATTTCCAGCCAGCCAAGTATCAAGACTGTAATAGGGATACGGTACTTAGGTCATTAAATAGAAAACTGACGTTGGGAGAATATCAAAGACATCACAGAGAAGATCAGAGATCTGGCCAAGAAGTCCTTGATTGACCTTGTCGAGGATGGGTTCGGCTGTTTGAAGGATTTGAAGGCAAAGATTCGTGAAAAGGGCACTCTTTCCAGCCAGAACACCTAGAAGAAGATGGATTGTTGGTAGATGATCATACCAGAGACGAGATATTCCACATCAGCATTTAGGACAAGTCCACAAGGTCCATTCGGGACGATGAGAAGGGATGGAATCTCGAGAGTTCCCTTCAGAATATCCAAATGTTCCAGAGTGTAGGCATCAACGGTCTCTCCGTCGATAGTAGTCGTCGTCTTGTTCAAGATGCGCAGCTTCGAGACTAAAGGATGGTGGGTTTAGTATCTTAAAAAGTACGACTCACTCCAATCAACGGCACAAGCCAATGCTTTGATGTCTCCAATTGGATTGGGGCATTGACGACAATCAGAAGTGGCTTGTTCGGCTGATCCGAGACCCAGTTGGGCTACGGTAGCCGAGGCAAGAAGGCACAGAGTTGCGATGCGGACGGCGGTAGCCATTTCGACGTAAGAAAGTAGATGAAGAGCTTGAAGCTGATGCCAATGGTTCGAAGCCGAACCCTTTTATACACACTTCGCTTGTGTAAAAATTCATCTCCAATGTTCCATTAACAATGGCGTATTTTCGACCCTGCCGATCTCCACGAAAACATAAGCAGCATGTCTGGCTGGACCTGGGGCTAACATATTTTTGGACGTCCCGCTGAGCTTTTCGTTGGGGTCAGCCGAACAGTGGGTATTTTCGAACGGGTGGATGGAACTTGTTTTCCAAAAGTCGAGCTTTTGATACAAGTTTCTAATTTTGATCGGGCATATGGTGCTGGGATTGCGGCCGAGAGTTAGAAAGGTCTGGGCTGTTTTCGGAAAAATCCGAACCGATTGTTCCCGTTGGCTATAAAAGCCACGTATCTCCAATGGTCAGCATCAGCTTCAAGCTCCTCTTCTAATCTTCTAAGTTTCGTAAGTTAGCCCCAGTACACTGATTCATACCAGTATAGAAAGATGGCGCACGCCGTCCGCATCGCAACTCTGTGCCTTCTTGCCTCGGCTACCGTAGCCCAACTGGGTCTCGGATCAGCCGAACAAGCCACTTCTGATTGTCGTCAATGCCCCAATCCGATTGGAGACATCAAAGCATTGGCTTGTGCCGTTGATTGGAGTGAGTCGTACTTTTTAAGATACTAAACCCACCATCCTTTAGTCTCAAAGCTGCGCATCTTGAACAAGACGACGACTACTATCGACGGAGAGACCGTTGATGCCTACACTCTGGAACATTTGGATATTCTGAAGGGAACTCTCGAGATTCCATCCCTTCTCATCGTTCCGAATGGACCTTGTGGACTTGTCCTGAATGCTGATGTGGAATATCTCGTCTCTGGTATGATCATCTACCATCAATCCATCTTCTTCTAGGTGTTCTGGCTGGAAAGAGTGCCCTTTTCACGAATCTTTGCCTTCAAATCCTTCAAACAGCCGAACCCATCCTCGACAAGGTCAATCAAGGACTTCTTGGCCAGATCTCTGATCTTCTCTGTGATGTCTTTGATATTCTCCCAACGTCAGTTTTCTATTTAATGACCTAAGTACCGTATCCCTATTACAGTCTTGATACTTGGCTGGCTGGAAATGGAGGTCTTCTCGGACATCTTCTTGGTGCCAATGGAAATCCTCTTCTTGATGGTATCTAAATACATTCTAAACCTTCTAATATTCTATTTTCAGGTCTGATTGGTGGTCCATCTGGAGCCCCAGGAGTTGTTGATGGTCTTCTTCAAGAGATTCTTCGTCTCAAATTGGTCGGTGGACTTCTCGGATCCGTTCTCGACAACGATAGCGGACTTCTGGGTGGCCTTCTTGGTGGAGATTCGGGACTTCTCGGTGGATTGACTGGTGGTTTGACTGGTGGAAATGGTGGTCTACTGGGCGGACTTCTTGGAGGAGGACAAGGAGGAAGTGGTGGACTTCTCGGAGGAATTCTTGGCCGCAAATAAGCCCTCATCAAGTGTCATTTATTTGTATCTACTGTTTCAGACAGGACAATAAATTATTTCAATTTTCAGTGGCCTAAAGACAGCAGTACACATTGCACAAACAAAAACATAGAGTTGACCCTCTCAGTTAATATTTTTTCTTACTTATAAGAGGTAGCTCTAGCTTTTTCTGGACTCTAAACTTGAGCCTATATGACGAATTTAAGTCCACCTGAAAGAGCTAAATTTAAGGCCCCATGACGTAATGGGTTGCTCAATGCACTAATAGCCGACTCCTGAACCCAAACATCAAATCCTTTTATCAGGCTTGCACGGTGAACTGGCATAGATAGGGAATTTTACTGTTGCACGACACGCCATACCAGAGGCCGCTTGAATCGATCGCCACACAGTCGGTACCTTTGGCCGCTAGAAGATTGCAAATTTTGAGGCAATGCGCTAAAATTACGCTCGGATGCGGTCCAATTGGAGTAGGTGAGCGGGATTCCGTTAGGATATAGGTAGGGTGAATTTTCGTCGCTTGGGTCGTCGCGCTTTACACCGATCATCGCCTTCGCATCACCCGACTCTAAAGGGGTTCTTTCAAAGCGTCGAAAATCATAACGTCGGAATCCTAATTTCGAAATTCAGGATGTGGAAATTCACCTAAGCTGATTTTCCCGAATCTATACAAAAATTTATAAATTCTGAATTTCGTTATGAGAGTTCGACATCAGAGCCTATTTGCTTTCATCAGGTTCATGAATTTCTGCTTCTTTAAATGAAATAAAAGCATACTTTGGAGTGAAATCTTGGCAAACGCGGCGTTCCGGAAAGCATTGTACGGTGCGGCCAAATCCCCGGACTTTCTGTTGACGGCCCGGCACATGTTCTGGTTGTGATAGTAACCGTTACCTGTGGAAAGTCTATCATACCAAATCCAGCACTCCAAAAAGTTCCACAACAACTTCAAAAAATTACCCGCATTTTCCTGACTGCCAACGCACAGATAGATGGAGTCTATTGGAAAATATCCAGCAGGGCAGGTAATTGAAGCAGCGATGCCGACAAGGCAGCAAAATGTCAAAAACGAAAGCTTCATGGTAGCAATCAGAGAAACAACTCCGATCGGAATGATTCTGAGCCCGTAATTCCCGCATTTATGACACTCCGATAATGGCAAAATGATTACTAATCGGAGTATTCTGATTTCACCTCGTGACCGGAAGTTGGTACGGGATTGCTGTTGTTGATGACCTGATACCCGCCTAGAACAATTTCTCCTGACATTTTCTTAGAACATTTCATAATATCTGGTCTTTGGATTTATGGACAACATCTTAAAACACAGATCTAATTAATTTATCATGGTTGCACGGTGAATTGGCATAGATAGGGAATTTTACTGTCGCACGACACGCCATACCACACGCCATTTGTATCGATTGCCACGCATCCGGTGCCTTTGGCCGCTGGAAATATAGAACATTTTTAGACGATTCGTGAAAATTACGTTCGGATGCGGCCCAATTGGTGTAGGTGACCGAGCTGCCGTCAGAATAGAAGTATTTGGCTTTCTTGTCGTTCACATCGTCGCGCTTGGCCCCAATCATTGTCGTCACGTTCCCGTATTCTTAAGGTATAAAAATTCATGCTATAGAAAACTTAGCGTTCTTACTTTTAAGGGAAATCTGGGCAAAAGCCGTATTTTTGAATGCATTGCGAGGTTGAGTCAACCATCCGTTGTCGATATTCATGGACTTGCAATTCCTGTCGTTGTGATCATAGCCGTTGCCTAAACTTTAATGGCTTATTGAATCATCAAAAATTCATTTCTAAAGCACGCTTGCGAGGCTGGCAGCTTCGTTAGAAATTACCTGCTTCCTCCTGACTTCCCACGCACAGGTAGACGTCCGCAATCGGAAAATACCCATCCGGGCAGTCGAATCCAACGACGGCACCGAGGAAGCAACAAAGCACAACTAACAACACCGGCATGGGTTTGATATGTAGCCTCTGAGCAACCAATAAGACAACCTCCAATGCGGAGCCCCTTCCGGTGCCGTTATTCGGTTTTATAGCGCTCTGATAAGTCGGGGTCGCCTATGAATTGAATCGGGCTGTCATCATGTCTGGTGTTGGTGCTTCATGTTTCTGATATGGACTGAAGATGGCCGGAAGATCAGAAAAAGGAATAGCCGCGGAACGTTTAGTGTTTTCTGGAAAATAATATAGAAGTCGAAAATCACGAAAATTAGTGGCTTTCTATCTTTGGCCGTTTTGCATGTTTGATAGCTTGACGTTACGTTAGACGTGCACAGCCTTGAATTCAGGTCATTGGAATAATAAAAAATTTTTATTGGGCCTATTCGAGAGCTTCTAGAAACAAACAGGCATTTTCGTCATTCGCAGGAACTCGCCACTCCCCCATTTGCACCAGTATTTGCAACTTTTTCCGGCGATCAGCTGAGGCCATGCGGCCGTTTTCCGGTCAAACAAAGCATTTTTGGCGTGGGCACGTCGGGAAAACGGCCCGCAGACGCATGGTCATCTACTGTTGGCACAGCTTTCAACGGGACGAGTGGAGTACCATATAAAAGTTAGGGGATCGGGGGTTGGTCGGTAGAATTGGTCGGATCGCGCAATATGCTGCTACTTTTCTTATTTGCAGCTGCATTCCATACGGTTGCAGCGCAAATGTGCACCACGGCAGGGAATGGGCGTAAGCTAGAAATTTGCAATTTTCTAGAACCCTCGGGTACCGTAGCATTAGCAGCACTCAATTATACACGGAATGGGCTGGTTTCAGCGCTTATTTTCGACATACAATTATTATCATCCTATGATTTTTTAGCGTGCATTAATGGTGCCTGTGCGGTGGCTGGTGACACCTGTGCGACATTTAACGGTAACACTGTCTGCTGTCCTGCAGCCAACATCCTCACAACGAGTAAGATATTTTTCGTAACATAACTTCAACAATACACCGTTCAAACTCCCGCATTTAATACCAGCCATTTTCAGGGCGAACCACCGTAGCCACTTGTGTGGATAAACTGAACCCATCCACTGGAGTCTCTGATTGCCCGAAAAGAGCCTACCTATGCCAAGACTCCACCTACTACGCTGTCATGACCGACCAGTGCCCACGCACTTGTGGACGTTGCTCTGGATCTGCCACCACACGTAGATACACTGCTTAATTTATCGATTCACGGTATTTTTAGCCCGCAGCACAACTTGTGTCGACAAGCTCAACCCGTCCACCGGTGTCTCGGATTGTCCGAATCGCAGGGCATACTGCACCAACTCGGCCTACCTCAGCCTGATGAGGGATCAGTGCCCCAGGACCTGCGGCTTCTGCACTGCTGGATAGAAGGAGATCAGAGCCTCCTTAATAAATTATTGCATGCAGTACTAAACTACACTTTAACATATTACATATCTAGGCTATTTGAGGCTAAACATCCTTAACCCTTCACCTTTCCTCCTTAAAATGACAACCCAATAAATTCCCCACCCGAAAGTATAGTGTTATCACGCAAGTCTAATTCGATTAATCGACTCGTTTTTCAGTCCCGGCATCTCTCCTGTAAATCTGACTGGGGCGTGACCTCCTCCTCTCTGAGAACTAAAGCGAGCCTGACCTTGCGCCATCCTTTTTTCACCAAACACCCCCCCCGCCGCACCCACCACTATCCCCCGAATCCCCGTTCCCCAACCGGCATTGACAAAACGGACCTACAAGGCTTTGAAACTGCCTGATTTTGCCTTTTTAAAACTTAATTAGTTTTAGGCCTAACTAGGGAAGTATCTGAACTTGCCATTGAACTTTGAGAAGTCAGATACACCATTCGACGCGCCGTGACAAGAGGATTCCAAATATGTAATAAAATCAACGGGAGGCATAACGGTAAAAAGTTATAAGCATTTTAAGTTTTACATTGAAATTTGCCGCCGCGAGAAGAGTTCCTCCCAGCGCACCCTGTCCATCGGTCTCGTGGCCTAGTGGTTTGCGCATGGGTCTCTGGGCTGTATGACCAGGGTTCGGATCCCCTCACGATTTTTATTTTTTGCTTTATGACCAGTTCCTACTTTTTGCATTTCCAAACTCGGGAATAAGTTTTTCTTGACCGCGTGGCCCCTAAAAGGCACCGGCGACGATAAAATAACCTCGGGCAACAAGACCAGGATTGGACGCTCTCTATCTCAAAGTTGGCAAAATCGTCGGAAACCGCCCTTTTAAGGCTCTGTGCGAATTCGAAGAATTTAATTTGTCAAAAATGGAACAGTACATCTTGATCAGCAGAAAATTCCCTTTTGAATGAGCTAACTTACCTGCGCTTTACGCCAAATTCTCGAAAAGTCTTTGGCTAACTGGCCATACCCTACCCTTACACTGCATTCCAAAAATATTTTTTGCGGAAATTTTTGGCAGCCGTATGTAATATAGCTCATTTGAAAGAGCTTTCTTTGTTGAACAAGGAGCACTAATTAGTTTAGACTAAATTCCATTCCGCGGAGTGATACAGGGTCTCAAGGATGCTGTTTTTGTCATTTTGCCGACTTTGGACCCTCATAACTTTTTACCGTTATGCGCTCCCGTTGATTTTATTACATATTTGGAATCCTCTTGTCACGGCGCGTCGAATGGTGTATCTGACTTCTCAAAGTTCGATGGCAAGTTCAGATACTTCCCTAGTAAGATATGCTAGGCTTAGGCTGCTTTTTTTTTCAGAAATCAGGAAATGGGATCCTTTGACGTCAAAAAGTGGCGTTTCGAAATGCACAACCCGGGGCTTAAATATTTTACTATGCGCTGAGGGCGGGGGAGACTAATTTTAGGGGTCTGGCGCTTTTAAAGGCTACGGAATATTACAAATTGCGGTTTTTTCATAAACAGGAGCTACTGAAGCTTATTTATTTTATTGCACAATGCAAGAGATATGTATCTAGTTTCCTTGAAAAGAGTTTGAACAAATTCCTTCGTAAAATTCCTATTTTTTTCATTAAAAATTTGACTGCTTTTAAATCTATTCAGTTTTAATTAAACACACAAAACAGTTTTAAACAGTTTAATCGGTTAAATTTTATCAATTTAATCGATAAATTTTTTTAAAGAAAATTACCCTCTTGAAAAGTGATATCAACCCAGAAATCTCAAACCCGGCCGCCACCTAATAAATAATCTAGCGTTTCACCTGGTCGCGCGGTTCAAAAAGTTGGGAACGGAACGGCTGGCCCTTGCCGACCGGCCGCCGCCACAAAAAAGGCAATAAGTGTGGCCGTCGAGTGCCTGGGAGTGTGTCACGAATTCCATTTTGACTACCTGCCCACAATGGGTGGGATTTTCAAGGGTGTGCATGCATATTTTTGAGGGGCAAACCGTTGTTTGGACAGGTTCGTTGCAACAAGATCCTTTAATGAACCGACCGGCCCCTTTTTGGGCGGAAAGGTTGTGAAAATTCATTTGGAATACTCGGTTTCATCTGTACTTTCTCTCAAAAAATTATGTTGCCCTCTGGTCCCGGATTTTTGGCTTTTGCTAAAGCGTTTTTTTCACATTTAGGATTGCGAATTATACCGGCAAGTTCGACCAGTTTACTCAATTTACCCCATCTTTTTGTACGAAATCCTCAATACTTTAACCTTTCGATTTTCCCAATTTTCCTCAAACCTTCGCCATCCCATCCTTGGCATTTTTTCGCGGCCAAACACCTTCCATTTAAGTGGAAAGTTTCGGACATTTGGTTGTCCTTGAAAAGCAGCCAACCTATTCCATCCCCCGCCCGACGTCTTTTCCGCCCGGAATCCCCTTGGCCCTGTGATTTGGAAAGAGCACCAATTACACCTCTAAAAATACCGGGACTACACTTTAAATTGCCACCTTCCTGGCGCCCCGTTTGCCTTCGAAAATTTATCTAACCGCAACGGAAATCCGTGTCGATCCGTTTCCATAACAATACTTCAAACCCATTCCCCCGAGGGCCAGAGATTTTATTGTGGTTTCGGGTAGTAACTATTTAATCTCAACATCGACCGATTTGGGCCCTAATTCGCTCGCGGTAATTTGATTTTATGGCTTCGGCCACTTTACGTTTTGTCGGCACTGGCATTTTTCAGCCGGGTCTATATGTTCTCCTGCAATTTTCCTGTTTTCTGCTCGGTTGGGCCAAAGATTTCTGGGGCGTAAAACGTTCAAAAAACGTAAGAAGAAGAACGGGAACGGGATTCCCACGCTATAGAGTCTTATTTTTATTCGGCTGCGTTATTCGGTTCACTCTAGGATTGTCTTGCACCTAGCTTAAAAGGTTGGCCTACGAATTACAACGGTCTTTTACGTTCTTACTCCCGTCTCTCTCTCTCGCTCTCTCTCTATCACGTCTCTCTCGCTCTCTCGATCTCGCTGCCTCTCTCCTTCGCTATAATATTTATATTTCAGATGACGATCTCCTACTCGGGCAACTTTTTCCAAGTGCTGTCCCGATGGCGCGGTTCGATCTGGAAGGCCGTCTGGCGGGAGCTACTTGTCTATTTAATTCTGTATTTTTGCGTGAGGTTAGTCTGCAATTTAACACATCTAGAAACGGATCTTACTTCCTGCCTATCCTCAATCGTTTTTAGGATCTGGTACAAAGTGATGATCGACTGGTTCTTTGGTGACCATGCCGCGCATGCCAAGTAAGTTTTAAAATTGCTGGGCCGGCTTGTAAACCCCCCTGAAACGATGTCGTTTTCAGGCATAATTTCGGGGAGTTGTGCCACATGTTCTACGAGTACACCCACGCCATCCCGTTGACCTTCCTGCTTGGTTTCTATGTGCATAACGTCGTCGACAGGTCGTTTTTAAGTTTTCGTATGTACCCGAGCTTTATAACGGCTGCTTTTTTGCCAAGCTATTTTTGAAGCTGTGGCACCCCCATGGTTGGGCATATTTGTATTTTTTTCATGAAAACTGTTAGTGGTTTTTGAGCTTTCAAAGACACGCGCAAGTCAAAAATTTCGATCATTTGGTCACTTATTTGACGGGATTTTTTAGCTTCTAGTCGTTTATTCAAATCCGAAAAAGCGTGGTTTGATGGATCGTAAAATTCGTATCTTATTACCGCACCATATCTCACCCTCCTCCAAAAAAAGATCAATGCTTATCAACTGACCTTGTTGAACCCCTGGCGGCGGCCCGCGCGGCTCTAACGCCCCCACAGATTTATTGCACGCCAGGATCCGTTCCGGGGATGCAATAACGAACGGGGAGACCAGGAACTGTTCATTATTGCTAGCAAAAAAGGCCGACCGAAAGGATTTCTGCCGAAAAGGATCACCGCGAAAAGGGATCAGGCCTCGGACCGTCGAATAAGGGACACTCCGAAGGGACACCGCGAAAAAGGGATCACCGCCGAAAAGGGATCACCCCGATATAAGGATCACCCGAATAAGGGATCACCGCCGAATAAGGGATCGGAAAAACCCGAAAATGGGGGTACCGATATAAGGGATCACGAAACCGGATTTCGGGCAAAATGCCGATATAAGGGATCACGGAACCCGATTTCGGCCAAAATGTCGCTATAAGGGATCACGAAACCCGATTTCGGCCAAAATGTCGATATAAGGGATCAGAAGAAGGATTTTGGGATATATTATTACATTGATGAAAGGGCTATTTATTTAGGTCGATTTCGAAAGAAATTACAGAGAAGTTGATAAAAACTAGGTTTTACGGAAGTATATTCGATTTTGGAGACTGGGGGGCGGAAGGAAGCTGATTGGAACGCGAAGAATTGATGGCAGAGGTCGTACTAAAGCAGATAGAGGTAAGGATCGAAATAGCTGCCTCACCGAGTTAGTCCATCGGTTAAATACCAGTCAATAAGTCCTGGCAGAGGTTAACGCGGGAGCGCAGAAAACTAAATCAGGGGATGAGGGAAAAGGAAAGGCGGAGGCACCACGATCACAAACTGGCAAGGCATCGAATTGAACAATACTTCCGAAAACATTAGTTTTATCAACTCTCTGTAATTTCTTCGAAATCGACCAAATAAATAGCTCTTTACATCAAGAATAATATATCGCGCAAAATCCTTCTTCTGATCCCTTATAGCGACGTTTTGGCCGAAATCGGGTTTCGTGATCCCTTATATCGACATTTTGGCCAAAATCCGGTTTCGTGATCCCTTATATCGGCAGAAATCCCTTATATCGGTACAGAGCCCAAAAAATTAAGCAGGGATCGGAAAGCGGGGAAAAATAAACCAAGAGATCGAACTTTTCAGATGGTGGCACCAGTTCAAATCGCTGCGCTGGCCAGAGGACATAATGGCCCCGTTGTGCATCGTCATCCCGAGGAATGATGAGAAGAGTCAAAAGCGGAGGCATACCATTGCCAGATATGTCAATTTGGCTGCGGCTTTGGCTTGGTGAGTGAATGATCCTTGCGTAAAACACGGAAACTTCCTTTCTGCTTCAATTAGCAGTTTTTCAGAGTAACCCTAGCCATTTCTATGTTAGTTCGTAGTCCATATAGCCTCAAGATATCACGATTTTTAGGCGTGACGTGTCTCCTAAACTGCGCCATCGTTTCCCTACCGTAGCCGCGGTTGTGGAATCGGGGTTGTTGACGGAGGAGGAGTACAACATCATTGAGGAGAAGCATGTGAGTTATATAGTGATCGTTGTTATATATTTGTATTTATAATACGGTATTGCTTGGAATTTGGTGTATTTTGTATTTTCGGATAGTGAAAACTGTGTATTTCAGGCAGATTGCCCTCATATTCGATGGATGACACCGTTGCACTGGGCCGAGCAGATTATGGAAGATGAAGATAAGGTCAGGCTCGACTTCAGCAACAAAGCGTTAATTTCAGGAAAACAAGCCCAACGCCCATCACGTCCATACTTTTTACCATGGTCAGAAATCGATAAATATCCCTTTTTTGTTTTTTTTAGAAGTCGCCGCTCTCCGTGAGTCACTTCGCGAGCTCTACTGCTTTGATTGGGTCTGCGTCCCGTTGGTCTACACCCAGGTGATTGGATTTTATATAGAGTTTTTAACCATTTCTCTTCAGGTCACCTGCCTGGCGACGTATGCCTACTTCTTCTTGTGCCTGTTTGGAGATCAATTTGTGGAGGGGAAGGTATGAAATATTGTTCGAAGGAATGAGTAGGAGAATTTTAGGATATCGATCTTGTCTTTCCGGTCGTTTCAGTTATAAAGTTCATCTTCTTCATTGGATGGTTCAAGGTGAGAGAGATAGAGAGAGAGATAGAGAGAGAGAGCGGGAGAGAGAGAGACAAGGAGACAGAGCTAGTTTCCTTTCTTTAGGTCGGACAAGACCTGATGAGACCCTTCGGACTTGACGACGATGACATTGAACTGTCCTACATCCTCGATCGTAATGTTCAGACGTCGTTCGGCATCGTCAGCCGACTAGCCCTCGAGAGATACCGTAGGAATATTCAAAAATTTTGAACAGTTCCCTTAGCCGATTTGGAAAAGAACACCGACAAGATGTGGGCCGCTCGGCCTAGCTACCAGCTCGTCAAGACTGGCACTATCGTTTCGAAGACACATTTGCATCATAGGCCCCAGTTGCACGCTATCGTTCCGTAAGTATACAAAAATTGACGAAACGTAGGATTTTGATTTACCGACGATTTATTTTAAATGTCGTAACGAATTATATACTTTTAGCGTCGATGGTGACGTGAAAGTTTCGCCGTTCCAAGAAATGCTCTCCCAGTTCAGACGCCGTGAATCCAGGTATTTGGTTGTGAAATTTGCACTGTTTAAGAGAGCCCTTTCAATTTCAATTCAACCACTATATTTAGACATCTTGCCTGGTAATCTACGGCTACAAACTTCAAAAAACATCACCAAATTCGCATCCCGGTACTACCCATGGTCGCTAATGAAATCATATTTCGAGTTTTCTTATCTTGGTTTTGATTGCTATTTATTCGTTTCTCGGCATAAATATATGCTCACACAAAAAGAAACAATAATAATTATAATACCAAAACACACTGGGACCGGAGACAAATTCAAAGATCCAATCGAAATTCCGAAACCTAGGCAAGGGTATAGAGGCTTAATAAATGTTTTGTTCCGTGGATCATCATTTTTTAGTTTTGTATCGTAGCTTCATTTTACCGGAGATCGTTGTTGTGGAGAAATACATCGCGTTGAAATAGCAACAATAATCGTAGTACCAAAATTGCACACAAAAAATGTGGTAACCGGGGGCGAGATGTCGACGGGGGCAAAAAGTGCAAGATTTTTGGGGTGTTGTATCTCGGTATCATTTTGTATAAGATGGGTTAGAAAATCACAAATTTGAGAAAATAAAAGTTAAAGACCACATCAACTCGAGTCGACTTCAATAGCACCGGGTGTTGAGGCGCTGCCATCAACGTCTTCCTGAAAACGGCCAGATTTTGATGGTGTTCTCTCACACTCTCTCTCTCACTCACACTCTCTCTCCCTCTCTCTCCCTCTCTCCCTCACTCTCTCCCTCTCTCTCTCCCTTTCGCTCTTTCTTTCCCACTCATTCTCTCTCTCTCTCTCTCTCTCTCTCTCTCTCTCGCTCTCTCTCGCTTTTCCTCTCTCGATCTCCCCTCCCTCTCTAAATTCTCATTTCCTCTCGGGAACTATTTCTTGCCTTCTTGCCTTAGCCTGATTTCTCACAACGTCTGACGCTCTCTCTCGCCCTGTCTTTCTCTCTCTCTTTCTCTTTCTCTCTCCCTCTCTCGCAATGGCCTTGGCCTTTAAATGACTTACCTTTTTGATATCGTCTACAACCGGAGCTGTATTATTGCTGGATACAGATGGCGTTGGAGCATCAGAGGGTGATGAACCAGCGTCCGAGCAATTACCATTTACAGCCGGGGATCCGCCCTAGAATCATTCAATATCTCGAAAAACTATCCTACGACGTACCTTAGCACTCGGCGTATTCGATGACTTGGGTCTCGGCGATCCCCTTGCTGGACTATTTGGCATCTGACCATTCGAGGCAGCCACCAAGCTACTCAATGCCGCAGTTGCTGAGCCGGCGCTATTTGCAAATTGCGCGAGTGGGTTGCCGGCGTTCTGAAAAGATAGGTTTCTACTTTGTCAGAGCAACGGGATAAAACCTTGAAGTTGAACTAGCAAAAACTAACCATTAACAATGGATTCATCATCCCTCCAGCCGTCATTGCCAACATTGGATTGCCATAAGGGAATTGGCTCATATTTGGCAGCCCGTTGAAGCCTGAAAAACGTGGCATTGATGTTAATTTATTGAGTTCCAAAACTCCCAAAAACTCAAAACAATACTCACCAAAATTGCTCATGCTAGCAAGGGTGGTCGGGTTAAAACTGGAAGGCCCCGGCTGGGCGTGTACGGTAGCTGTGGCGTTATTCGTCGACCTTCTCGAGGAGGGCCCAGGTCCCGCCGCGAGTAGCTCTTCCTTATTCACGCAGTTTGTAAGGTCATGTGGCATACGACCGGTTAGGGCTCGTCGGATCTGAAAGGGACGCTATTTTTTTGGTATGTTGTTTCGCATACAAGTAGGATATATCTCAGTTTAACGTGAAAAGATAATTCTACAGTACCTCTTTTGCCGCCGATGCCCTCAGTTCCTTCGATGCACTCTCCGAATACCAAGCCGAATGCGGCGTGCTCAACAAGTTCGGGCAGTCAACCAGGATTGGCGCTGCTAAAAAGTCCAATTTTGAAGAGCTTTAACTTTAGGACTTACAAATATGAGAGTCAAAGGGCCCAGGCTCATGACAATCGAGGGCTGCTGCTCGGAGATGACCAGATTTGAGGGCTTGGGCCAAGTCCATCTCGTTGATAAGCCCCGCTGCTGAGGTGTTGATGATCATACTACCTTGTTTCATCTAAAAATAGTAATAGGATGCCGTACGGCAAGTTGTAATTTACCTGCTTTATCGTATGTTCATTGACAATTCGTCGGGTGTCTTCTGTTAATGGGCAATGTAAGGAGAGACAGTCGGCCTTGTAGAGCAGATCATCTAACGAGTAACACCTAGAAAAATGAGCAAAGGTGAAAGATATGAGAGAGAGAAAGAAAAAGATGCAGTAGCAATCTCGCTGAGGTTATTCTTGTCTTCTAGGGCCGTTTAAAACAACTTACCTCTCAATCCCCAACGATTTCTCCATGCCATCCGGCAACAACGGGTCGTAGAAAGCAACTTTTAGCCCGAAGGCTTTTGCCCGTAGCGCAACGGCAGTTCCGACGCGGCCGCAACCTGAAGGAAAAGGATACTTTATACATCCACCTTAATATAAAAAACCAAATAAATACAAATTATCAAAATGAAGTAATTTCCTTACCAATCAATCCCAATGTCTCATCCCGCATTCGTCGTGCCCCGGCCCCGATTTCTCGGACTTGTTCGGCGGTTGTAACCTTAATTTCAGCAATAAAGAATGTTAATAAAACAATACCTTTCGTCCTTCTGCCACCGCCTTGGCATACCAAAAGGTTTTTCGGTAGAGATTGAGGATGAAAGCAAGCGTCGAATCCGCCACTTCTTCAATGCAGTCAGCTGGGGTATTACAGACGGCAATTCCTAAATTTGGTTTAATTGTTTAGATGAATTTTTTCCTTCTTTTCCATTTATTTCACTGAATCCAGCTCCTCGATTTTGCCAGATTAGCGGTTTTCAGTTTTTCTATTTTGGCCCCGCGCCAGCCGCCATATCCTAGCCCCCACACACGAGAAGGGGTAATTTGAGATGATGGATTCCCAAGTGGGGCCGGCCCACCCCACTGGGTCTCAAGGAGGAGCAGCTTTTGCTTTTCCCAAAAAAAGGACGAAGGCTTGGGAAGTCTTATCGAAAGGAGAAACGACGATATTAAAGCCTACCAAGTTCCGTTGCCGCTTTTAGGTCAATGTTGTCAACACCGGTGCCGATGCGGACGATCAGCTTCAGGGCGCTGAACTTTTTCAAGTCGTCTTTGGAGAGACGGATGGAATGCCACATTAGGGCGGCGACAGCTTCGTTGAGGACCTGAAATTACGGAGGTTCTTTAGGGGCAAGCGTCTATCTCACTCTCGCTGTCGCTGTCTCGCTCTCCCTCTCTACCAAGCGATCTCAACGATCAAACATTCCAAGCGCTGCATATTTCAACCGATTGTTGCCCTCCCCCAAAAGGAGTGTCCCCTCCTCCAGCTCCTGGTTTGTGAGGCGAAGGTCCCAACCTAATTGGGCTCCGGATGCTCCCCCGAATTATGCGCCCCTAGCACCCGGGCCAAACCCCCTGCCGCGGGGGAGTCCCACAAAGCCCTTCGTCTGCCGGAATCGTTGATGGGGAAAGTAGTAGTAGCAGGAGCGGGTGAAGATGAGGATGGGGAGTGGATGTGAGTTCGTTTAAAGGGGATGGGAAGGAAAAGGCAAGGCCGGATTTGGGCCAGGATTGAAACCGAGCAGGTTGCTTCTCAGTGGTGAACACTAATTCCGGAAGAATTTCTGATAGCTAACCTTATCATGGATCTCATGGGTGTATTGCGCATCACAAAATGCGACAGTTGCCACATCCTTCAGGATCGGCATCTCGATCGAGCAGTCCCGGCCGTCAAGCAGGGCCACCAGGGGACGCCCCTGCAGCCCGTTTACGCGGCCAGCCACTGAAAATGACAATTTTGCATTTGAACTGGCTATATTTCGCTTTCTCTCTCTGTCTCCCTCTCGCTCTCTATGTCTCTCGCTCGTTATCTCTCTATGTCTCCCTTTCTCCCACTTTCTCTCGCTCTATCTCGCTTCTAAAACCATCAAAAACCCACTGGCTAGCAACTCTTGCAGCGGATTCGTAGAGATCGTGGGACTGTCAAGCGATTCGGAGTGCGGCGAATCTGAAATTAAGACTTGCCTTGATCGAGTAGCTACAGTAACAATGATTTATAGGGGAACAGTAGTCATCTGGGGGCAGAGGGCGGGAGGCAGACAATTGTTTTGGGGTGAGTAAACGGAACGTCTGATTGGTTCTATCGTTGGTGTCGATATTTTTGGAAGAAAAGACGTGGAGAAGGAGAATCAGGTCAAAAACCCTGCGGTTGTCATTGAAAAAACTTATCGTAAATAGAGTCAAAATTCAGTGAATGCACTTGGAATTTGAATTAAGTGTTTTTAAAACTTAAAAAAGGCATAACTTGCTGTCCGACAAATCTGTAAAAAATTTGAAAAAGCCCGTCGAAACGAAACCCAAAACCCGAAAACGAGCCGATACACTCCCCGCGAATAGCTACTAAAATATGGATCTTTTTCGGGGGCACGGGCGCGGCGACGACAACGAGGGCAGGAGCAGCAGAAGCAGAAGAAGATTGAGGATGAGGGGGTAAAGAGGTGTGTCGTGGAATAGAAAGAAGCAGTAGGAATCGACGCAGAAAGAGGAGAAGGAGGCGTTGAGTGGTGGGTCTCCTCGCCGAGAGGAGGGGCAAAGCATTCAGGGGGTATGATGGGTGTGGTAGTGGTGGTGGTCATATGAAATTCGGAGGGGGGCAGCAGAAGGGGGGTGGGCCACAGGAGGTGGGCCCCTGGATGAGTATGGGGGCAATGCTCGGCCGTGTGCTTCAACCGAGCTGCTGTGTGCCCCCCGTTCCTCGTAATTTGGAGCGCCCTGCAATGGGCCCTGCGAAGGAAACGAATAAGAAGGGGAGGAGAAGCTCTCCCGATTCAGTGTGTGCCACCACATCTCTTCTTTCTGAAGAAGGGGGTCTTTCGGATGGGTCCCCCCTTGGGCCCTTCGCGCCCATCTCAACACCTTGACGTCTGTGGGGACACAACCCATTTCAGAAGCGCCCGGGCAGGAGGAGGGGATTTTTGGAATATATTGGGGGTAAAAACATTGCTCCAGGTTTTAGAACACGACGAAAGGTATATTTTCTAATAGTGAGTACGGTAGTAGACTATAGACTACAAGCTACAACATGGAGACGCTTAAAAAATGCGTAAAAAGCGCCAAATAACGATCTTCTGGTTGCCCCCTCAAGAAGTGCCCCCCTGTTCCTGTCCGGGCAAGGTGGCAGGGCTTATTGGAGAAAAATTGTCTTCTTCGAGAGCCTCTTAATCGTTACCGGGACTGCGAAGCGTGCGATTCATCAATTTTCGTCAATTTAGCACCGTTGTTTGTCTAATTGCCTAACTGTCGCGATCTAGTGCAAGAAGGCGTTGATTTCAACGCATTCCCCTTTAAACTGACATTAGCGGCTTATCAAACCCCTGTAGTTCCTGTAAACGTAGCAACAAGCAAAAGATTTTTTTGAAAATCTCTAAGACTTGGAAATATCCTGGTTCCCTATTCTCAATCCCTTTAACTACCCACACCATACTTCCCCGGCAGCCAGCCAAAGATTGAATTGGACATCCTTCTCCATTTGATGGGGTTTTTGTCGCTGCCTAGCCCCCGCGGAGAGACAGACATAGCACCAGCAGCTCTCCCTCCGCCGTCCCGAGCGAAATTCCCAATTCAGGGCCCATTAGGGGGTCCATTTGAATGGGCCACAGGGGCTGTGTCCGAGGGGAAGGGCCACCCCTTCGGCTTATTAAAAGTTAATTGAATCGACACGACACCGCCGGGGGGAGCGAGAGGGGTGCTCTTTTCGTTTCCGGCCGTGTCTTTCGGGTTAGGGACCCATCGGGGGGACATAGAGCGGAGGGCCCTACCCTCAAATGGCAATGGTTACCGGGTGGAATGGGAATTTGGGCGACCGGGGAATTGTGATCAATTCCGATATGGTACCTGGTGGTAGTTACTCTTTGATAACCTGCTACAAGCAAGAACGTTAATTATAAATGACACGATCTCACTGGCTCTTAAAAAGAGCAAAAAGCAAAAAAGGTCAGGTCCCGGCGAGATTCGAACTCGCGTTCCAGGATTCAAAGTCCTATGTGCTAACCACTGCACCACGGGACCGCCGGGAAAGGATGTCGGGAGGGGGCTGAAGAGAGGGCAGGGGCCGGCCCGGCTCTTACCGAGTCCCCTCGAGGGAATTATCAGGTTGCAAGGTGCAGGGGATTTGATGAGATATATTTGGCAGAAAAAGAGAGGAATTCCAGAGAAATTTTCGAGTAATTTGCATAAAAATTAACACCACATATGCAAATTAAGCTGGATCGGAAAGGGGACCAATAGATAGCCAAAACCCAATATTTTTCAATCAATCACTAAGTCGCTTCATTAAAACCATAAATAATTTCTATATTCAAGTTATTTCTATAGTATGGTAATTAACCGCAAAAATAATTACACCTTCAATTACCCAAAAAATCTGCAAAACCCCCAAAAAGCAAAACGGTCAGGTCCCGGCGAGATTCGAACTCGCGTTCCAGGATTCAAAGTCCTATGTGCTAACCACTGCACCACGGGACCGATGGGACGGAGGGCCCTGAGGACACCCATGTGGTATAACAGCAATGGTAACTGCGGGGAGTCTAGGGAATCAGCCGCCAGACGGGTGAAGATTCCAAGCCAAAAATAGATTACAACTCGGGGGGTAGTATTTCCAATTTTTGACTGCCCGGGGACATTGCCGGACGAATCCCGAAAAGCCGGCAATGGGCCCCCAGGGCATATTTTGGAGGGAATCCGCCGAAATGGGGGGGGGGATAGGGGATTTTGTGGAATGGACAAACAGAGACAGACACCGGATGGGCACAACCATTTCCAGGGGAGAAATTCTGGAAGGGAGGGGAGTAGCGGCAGATCTGGCAAATGAATTTTCCGACGGTGTTAGGGGCGTTCTTGGAAAAGAATGAGTTTGTCTGGGGGAATGGATTCTCAGAAAGTGAGGTTTTTGGGCCAGTTTTTATGTAAATTTTGACAACGATAGGATAACTATATTTTATTCAAAACTACCGCTACAAAATTGATTTCTGAAATTCTTTTATCGTGAATTAAATAGGTTTGTCGCTATTAGATGTATTTTGCATTAAATAGGAGGCGTGTCGGCAAAAAATCAAAGACGCCCAATTAGGGACACGGAGCGGGGCGGAAAAAGGAGCATGAGGTGACCGCTTCCGATGAATCGTTGCCCCGTACGACATTTAGTACCCGAAATGGCGTCTCTCGCCACGGTGCGGAAAAGACGGCAAGCACAAGAACACACATTTAAGTGATTTATCTATCTTTCAATGTTATTTTCTGTCTTAATTTAGAGTGCCAGGCTCAGAAACCAAGCCTGAAAATCTACTAAAAAAATCCAGTATATAAAATCAAGCTCATATAAAAATTAGCTCTCCCCCATCGGTATAAACTGTTCTTGTGGATGGCCGGCGGGCCTCGCCGGGTCGTGCCGAATGGGGGGCACTGCTGAAATAGGATTTGCCTGCCCGTTTCCTCCCCGGGAGCAAGGGGTCGGCCTCTTCCTCCTGCTACCGCTTCTCTCTCTCTCTCTCTCTCTCTCTCTCTATCTCTCTATTTCTTTCTCTCTCTCACTCTCATTCTCTCGCAACCACAAGCAGAATAGGTTCCGGCGGATGCCCGGAGGGCACACCATCCGGACCGACGGGAGGGAGGGAGGTCGGAGGGGCGGGGGGCGACGACAACGGGAGGCCCTGCCAATTTTATGGGTCAAACTCCTTCGTGTAGTCGGAGAAGCCAGGGAGGGTTAAAGGGACTGAGAAGGGATAGGGCGAGAGTCACTTAAAAATAGCCGCAAAGACGCGCTTGCGAGCGTTCGTATATTTTGGGTCGTGACATTTGACTCAGTCCCAAAAAACAAGTTTCTTATTCCAAAGGTTGTAGCGGAACAAAGGAGTATTCCGACGTCTCAGCAAAAATATAATTAGCTTCAGCGGCGCGCTAGTTAAGATTTTTTTAGAAAGTCCCTGACCCACCGCCCCTTGTCTCGGGAATTAGGTGACAAACAATTACACAAATGGAAAGCAACCGGAACGGCTTTTTGGGATATTGGCGGGATGAGCTGGGGATGTTCTCGAGATCACACGGATATCGGAGTGCCAGGGTTTTCGGGCAGATTATCCCGTAGTGGTGACTTTGGAGTTTTTGATCACAAATCTTACGGGGTGTGCACCGTTAAGATGCATTGCGAGAAGATACGTGAACTTATGGTAGACTACGATAAGCTAGATCGGCTAAGGTTCCGTAAGAAACGGCATCTCTTGTTCATAAGTTATGTTAAGCTACGATACGCTGGGGTACGCTACGGTACATTGTGATACCCCACGCTACGCTACTCGATGTTGCGAGACGTTACGTTGCGGAGCGCCAGGTGTTGATACGCTATGCTACGTCACGCTACGCTTCGTTTCGCTACGCTACGCTACGTTCGATACCCGCGCTGCGCTGGGTTTCGGTACGTACGTTACGTTAGGCTATGTTTCGATACGGTACGCTACGGCTAGATACGCTAAGCCATTTCGCCGATTGGCTTAATCTTGCGATATTCTAAAAAAGCCAAAATGAAAAATTTCAAAATTCTGATCCAATATCTTTATTGGCGCTTAAGGAATCCAATTTAGGGCCGAAAAACCAAAATATTACGTTAAATTCAGGCCAAAAAATCCAAATCCCACGAAACGCCCCCATACGCTTTTCCAACAGGTGTCCATCCCACTAAAATATGGACCGAATTAGGTATGTAAGGGGCAGAGGGGGGATGAGGGGTTGAGGAAAGATGCTCCCCCTCCGCCTTCCGGGCCCCCATTCCAAACTGATTAGCCATTCAGCGGATGCCGGCCACCCAAATAGAGCGACCGACCGAGGGGAGAGAGAGCATAAGATGGACACGAATGGGAGGAGAAGCAGCAAAAGGAGAAGAAGTGAGGAAGGGTGTCTCCTTAGCTTGTGAGACCCACAGGGGCCCATCCTCGACATTCGTAATTTGGACGGCTGACGGACACACCAACCTCCCTGGCCTTCTATTGCCATTCGCATTCATACCAAATTATCGGTTTTGGGGTGGGCAGGGGGTTGAGGGTATCGAAATGAGAATTTCAAATAAAATGAGCCGAAATTTAAAGAGCAGAATGTCTGAATAATTCGTAAAGAGTTGCCGGTCGTTCTGGGACCCGGGTTCCCGCTGTTACCTTCTACGAAAATTGCTAATTGTGTGAGCGGCTTTCTCAAAATAAGAAAATAAGGATCTTTAAAAAGGCTTTTTGCTAAATTACGGACAAAATGTCAAAACTGTTATCAATTATGCTAAAATATACGCTTTCTCGTATGCCAGCAAAATTAGCAATTTTCATACTAGTTTACCAGAAAGAAAAAATGGGGATTTTCTGATTCTAATTATTTTTTACACTGTAACTACAAAAAAATCCCCTCCGAATGATTAATTTATGAGCCATCGCTAGCATCTGTGTGTCCGAGATTCTAGACGACTTCCATCATCCCTTCATCCCCATTTCTAAAGGCTTATACTCGACGCGTGGCTTCTAGAGCGCGACAATCCTTATCGTTTTCGGAGGGAATCCGGGGAGAATCTGCGGATTTTCTGGCGACGAAGGCAAAGCTTCCAGATTCGTCTGCGTCTGCAAATCTTAGGACAATTGCCTTCCGTTTGATAATTTTATAAAAATGAGGGCTTGACTTCAAAAAACGTTTAGTGAGGGCAACCCCATAATCTGTACGTAGTAAAACCTCCATGTAGTAAAAATAAATTTTCCGGCCCTGAGGCGCTTCGAAATGAATAACATACGTCTTAAAATCACAGAAAACATGGATTCCGACCAGATACTAAAGCAAGAATAAGGGAAAATACGCCCCTAACCCAAAACCCGACAACCAACCAAAAGACCCGATGCCATGACTCAGCGTAATCGTCTTCCGGCTATAAAACATCAAAAGGGCAGGCAGCTGGGTCACAGGTTTCGCCCCGGAATGACATGACCAGGTCAGGAAAGAGGTTTTGCTTTCTCGTAGTTGACCGGGTTGACAAGCCGAGTACTATTTGGACCATCTTGGGTGCCGGGAGGCAAGCTAGCAGAGGTCCTTAGGGAATTTAGCAAGAGGTGACGGAAGGACCACAAAAAGGCATAAAAAACTTTAACCCACCTGGTTGCTGTATCGATACCGGCAAATGTTGATGATGATGGTGATGGTGGTGATGGTGAAAGAAATCCGGCAGCACCCTCTTTCTCGGCACCAAACTTCTCGGAATTGACGGACTGTTTCGACGTCTTCGTTCCCCGGAGGATTTTGCCTCTTTTGGCGGGAGCGTGATTGTCAACTGCTTGTCAACCTAAATTTAGAGAATTGCATGGGGAATTTTAGCACTTACCGTAGGATCTGGTACTGGTATATCACCTTCACGTTTTTCACCACCTTCAAAATGGGCCGAGCAGATGCGGAGCTGAAATTGGGAAGTTAGGAAATTAGTTAGATGGCGTTTTGGACATGGGTCTAGCAGGGTGATGAGTGACATAAACTTCGAGACAATTTTTGAGGCTTTTAGTGTATATGTGCTAAAGTTTCAGTAGGCGCTTAAAATAAAGCTTTCAACAGGGTTTCTAAGTTTCAAAAGCATCGTTCTAAAAACCCGTAGTTACTGAGAAATACTGCAATTTACATATATTGTACTCAACCAGCCCATTGACCGAATGATTACAATCTTAAGGCCAGATTTTTATACAGTAAATACTACTTTGTTAATCACACGAGCACAATCACAACAAAACATCAGATACACACGCGTGGGTCATGCTCGGAACCTGGCTGACGACGGTCTCCTCCGTCCTCCCGATGGCCAACAACCAGCGCTGTCGCAGGATAAGCGGACGCTTGGGGATGCGGTAGAAATGACGATTATCCTCTTGGCCGCGGTATCTCGATCGGAACTTGCAGTTCGGGAAGCCGCATGTCGTCGGCATTCAACTGCCGACGCCAACTGAGCCACCACCACCCTGAAGCAATGAGGGTCAAGGGGGAATGTGCGGAAAAGCTGTGGAAAATGTTTGTATGTGGGGTTTATGGAATTACCTGTTTGTTTAAATTTACCGTATTTTAAAAGAGACCGGTTGGCCGGACAAAAGTTGGAAAATCCAGGAGATTCCGGTTTCACGAATCCTTTTCTCAGTCTGGTATAGGCATTTATAACCAGTCTGTCGTAGTAAATAGAACGTTTATAAAGATTACGATATGTTTTTTGTAATTCCATGAAACTCACATTACCGACACTTTCTAAGGGTTATATAAGCCGAAGCGGAATCAGCAAAAAGCGATAAGGATAAGCAAGAAAATTTGGATCAATGGAGCCCGAGCTCCAAAGCCCAAAACAGGCTTTGTTTTTAGGTGTATAGCCGAAGCCGGGATCCGTGCCACTAAAGCGCCCCAATTGACACCACATTTTGCTGTTGGAGGCGTCGGCAGCCCCTCATAACCGACGCTTCAAGGGCCCCCATTTCATTTACACATTGAACGGATGTTTGGGGGATGGCTTCCTACCAAATGGGTCTATGGATACCGGCAGTCCTCAAGCGGGCGGAAGCAATTTGCATCGATATCCATACCCGGGGCTGTATACAGCTCTTTTCAAGATGCCAGTGGAATTAATGGGTGGCGAAAGAAAGGCGGCAATTTTTAAAAAGTTTTATCGGATTCATTTTAATTTTGAATCGTAGAGATTTATAGCAACTTTAAGCGACAAAGCGAAGCCACAAAAGCCCAAAAGAAAGCGCATATAGATCGACAAAACGGCACCATAAATCAGCATTGATGTTCGGCTTAAGAGACTCAAAAGCTAAAATTTTGAAAAAAGGCAACACTTTGCCGGTAACAACTTCGAAGTGATTTTGCCTTTCAAATCCCTTTAAAGCGCCATCAGAAAATGTCGCAAGAAGCGTAGCTTAACGTAGCGTGCGTGCTAGCCAACACGTGATGCACGATTCCCATTGTGAACTTAAATTTCCCAGTACCGTAACACCGCGAACCCATAACTTCAAAAATCCGCCCCACACCCAAATCCGGACCGGCCCCAAAATTCGGCGGACGCCTCAGCTGGAGTGGCCTCAATAAAATACCAATTTTGGCAGAAGCCATCTGAGCTGGATGAGATCTATTTGGGCCTCCTGGGGATAATGAGGAGCACCCGCTTGAGGCGAGGAAGGAGGGGGACAAGATTTTCTACAGACTCCCCGCCGGGGGGACGAATTTTTTTGGAATGGATCAAAAAATGCGGTCGCCTTGGTACGAAAAACACAAAAATCACGTCTAAAGGCGCCGAAAAGCGTAAAATTGACCCTGACAAATGTGGCATGCAATTGACATGATAAGTTTTAGAGATCTGATTTGGGTGGGACAAGATAAATCTCGGAGGTTTTGTCTAGATCAAGGTGGCATAGTGGCGCCGTCCAGTCCTTTTAAAATGTGTAAAAATCGCGAAACTGGGCTGCGTAAATGATAATTTTCTACATTTCAGTGAAAAAAATGATATTATTGCGCGATTGCTGCTGACCCTTTTCGGGCTATGATTTTGCACATTATTCTCGACCTCAACCCAAAATCTTAGTACCACCAAATCGCCCTCCCGTCCCGAGAACACCAGATTAAACTTGGCAATTTTTCGGCCGCCAGATCCCACCCGCATGAAATCAGCTTTGACACGGGATTTGCGGCTTTTGAGGGCGCCGCCTTTGAGGCCAAACCCAGGCCAAATGTCCTCCCCCCCTTGGGGGCCATCCGAAGGAATTTCAGATTTACCACCAAACACTGCCGGGCTCGAGACATAGAAAGGGCGGCGCACTAATTGGAGTGATTTATCCGGTTGGCCGCACTGCCAGGCCCTCCAAAAAGGGCCTTTGAAAATTTTGGTTTCGGGGGAAGGGGATGAAAAGCTTCCGGAATCGACCCGGGGACGGGTGGGGGTTTTTGATAGTTTGTCAAGGGATCAACTAGAAGCTCGCTCAAAAGTTTTGTTTTCACCGGATTTAGGATAACAATGGTAACACTAAGGTAACATCTTACTACGCATTTTGGCGAAAATTATCAAAGCATACATAGTTATCATTTTCGATGGGACTGCGTTGCTTTTAGACGTACGGTAACGGAATTGTTTCTAAGCATTCCAAGGCTAACTAGTCGTATCAGTTGAAATGTACTGCTCAAATATCCTTAGAGCCCTGTATTAACCCAAAAAATCCAAGAATAACGAATTAATGGACACGAATTTCGTTGGAATTACCGTATTACCGTAATTTTGGAGATCATCTTAATTTTTTCGGATTTTGGGATGAAACATGAAATCACGAAATAGGCTTTTGGCCGGTTCCGGTTGTGCATAATGCAAAAATGAGAAATTTAGGGCAAGTCAAATAGCAGAATTTGTACGTTTTTAAGAGTCGACGTTGGTCTTATTGAAAAAATCATCCCAAAAGTGAAGTCGACCCAGTCTAGGTTAGACTTCTGCTGGGAATCGAGAACCGGACAGGTGAAAAAGGTGGTAGGCAACTGGGAACGGCGGTGATTGGGTCGGGAAAAATTGGGGTGGCTGGAGGTTTCGGGTGGAACAACGTCAATTAAATGGATCAAACAAAAAAACATCTGAAACAAACACCTAAGGACCCACCGTCACCCAGTCACCTACCGTATACCCCCGCATCGCAATGCCCTTTGCCAAAAACCCCAAAAAGGAGAAGCGGCCCGGACCTTTGGCCACGGCGGCTAAATGCAGTTGTTGGGGTAATAGGGGTGGCCCTTGGCTCCGCGGATCCTCCCCTGGAATAGGAGATGCGGTCCTCCCCGAATCAGAGCCAGAATAAGAAGAGGAGGTAGAGGAGGAGGAGAAGCAGTACCACACCCCCAAGACCGACAACGCGCCCAACTATCCCCACACCCGCACCCAACGATGTGGGGGTAAGCGGCCTCATTAGGGACACGCTCCTGGGCTGATCCCCGGGGGCAGGGCGGTGCGGCTCTTCGAGACTCACCAATTCCCCGGGCTTCCGCAACCCCGGCGACACCGATTAGCCCTGCTACTGGGTGGGGTAGACGGGGGTAGAAGATGGGATGCCGTCAAGTTGCGGGAATTAGGGAGGGTGAACCGGAGTTGTTACTCGGACTTTTTGGCAACCGGGGGACGGTACAGATCGAGATATGGCTTGTCGGTTCCTTTAAGGTTCCATAGAAGCTGCCAAATGCGGAAAACGACCCTGGACACGACTAATGCTCGATAACCAAAATATCTACGCCGTGATTAGCTCCAAGGGCCATAGCTTTGTCAGACTTTTTCAGAAAGCCTAAGCAGAGCTGATCTTAAGCAGAGCTGAGCTTCAGCCCAAGCCTAAGCCTAAACTAGACCTAAGTTGAAGCCTAAGCCTACCTACGCCTAAGTACCACCACCTTCTCCCTGAGTTGGAAAGGACTGGGCAGTCTTAAAATGGACCCCTCAGATGGCTAGGTGTCGACATCCATGTCAGGAAAGTGCATAAATGTCAAGAGCTAGTCGTTTTAAAGGGTCAATTCTGGTTCCTTGAAAGATTCTAGGTAGTAAAGAGTAAAACGGACCAGTAACAATGAGTAAAACAAAAGATTTAAGATACCTAACGAGTTTTTTAGTTCTAACGCAACCTGGCCCAACTACCGTACCTCGCCGGCACCCAACGAGACCCAGCCGAAAAACCCCAGGGAGGAGATGTTAGTGGGTGTGGTGGTTGGGTGGGTTGGTTGAGCAGCAGCCCCAAGAAGGAGTTGGCGGTGCCCCCCTTGAAACCCAATTTCCCTCGTGGAGCTATCATAGGGATCGGGCCAGCAGCCAGGAGGGCCACACCAACCCCCGACGACGGCTCTTTGATGGCACCTAGGACGGCTTGGCGGAGGGGGCCACATCCCGGTAATACAATCAGACACTCCACCCCCAGTAAGGCAGGGAAAGGAGGCCGAGGGATTGAGGCCCATCTCGTTGGGATTGAGGCTGAACGACGGGTTGAGCAACAAGTAAAGTTCGTGGTATAAGGATGCTCTAGGGAGCTGCAGCCGTGCCTTCTCCGCCCCTTTAAAAAAGTGCCCCGTTAAGCGCATGCGGTCCCGCCACGTGTCTCGTTCTTTTCTCTCTTCGTCTCTGCTTCTTCCCCCCTTTCTATTTTCTCACTCGCTCTTGCTCTCGCTCTTTATCTCTAGTCACTCCTTTCTCTCTCTCTCTCTCTCTCTCTCTCTCTCTCTCTCTCTCTCTCTCTAGCTCGCTTTCGCCCCGCCCTCTTTCCCTCTCTCGCTTGATATTTCTATTTTTCTCCTTTTTTCTCTCATGAGAATGACACGAAACCCGACCGTAGCTATCCACCAGGTAACAAAATTCTTTAAATAAGCTGCCTGAATTACCGTAGCCGTCTGAAAGCCAAGGAATAAGGCAAGCCCGCGAAACTGCACCAAAACCCAATATTGGCCCTCAGCCAATTACCACCAGAAAATATTTGTCCAAAAAATTATAATGGGCAGGTGTCAATTGGAGGGGAGTGGAGTCGGGCCATCCCCCCCCCCCTCTCGGGGGAATCTTGGCGGCCCGAAATTGGGGTCTGGTGGAGTGGGGGGCCCGGCAACCACCACTTCCTACCGATCTCTTCCGCCCCTCCACCGCTTGACTTCGAATTGATGAGCGGCTAATTGGAAGAATCTCCCAGGGGAGGGCACAGAGCTGGCCCAGAAATTTTTCCAACAATGAATTGAGGGTGGGTGGGCTGCTCATGGCAAAAGATGGGGAAAAATTGCTGCCTCCTGTAGCTGCCAAGTGACGAATTGGAGGGTGGCTGAAGATGTGGCGTGGCAAAAATCTGACAAATTAAAGGGACAAGGGAGGGCCGAAGCCGACGTTTTTTAGACTGGGTCTAGCAAGTTCTGGCTATCTTCGATTTCCGCTATCGATTTTTGGACAACTAGCGTG